ATTATTATAATGCAGTATAGATAGAAATATAGTTTATTTATGGCGTTATTATATTACTAACATAATAAACATATTTTATTATATTACTTTATTATTCATCAAAAACAGAAATGAAGTTGCCGGTTTACAGGCTTTAACGGCATTTTTAATTCCATACCACAAGAAATTTGGTCAAGAGTAATTTATTCTTGGTCTTTATTTACCACAAATTATGGTAAAATCAAGTTCGTGAATTTTATTGGAGGAAATCTTGTTTTTCGAAAAAATGAATCATTTTGAGATTTTGAGATATTTTCAACGTATTATAATTATTTATATTACTATTACATTATTTTATATATTGTTGTTATATTATCACTATATGATTGCTATATAAATCAAGACATATTGTTGTCATATTTTCGTTATATGATTGTTATATAAACCAAGACATATTGTTGTCATATTTGTAAGTTTCTGCAAAGTACTACTTTAATGTTATTTAACAACATAGTTTAAATAATTTAAATGCACTGTTACGATATTTTTACAATAGTTAAAGTGATGTATCTGCAATACATTTAAAATGATTTACCATGCATAGTAACGGACATGGCAGTATATCATAATTTTTTCCATTACTTAATGTTAACTTACTCGTGAATTCAATTGGCACAGTACCGTCCCGATTCTAATTAAACATCTTAATGACATTGGATAAAAATTGAAGTTTCTGCAAAGTAGTATACTTTATGGATATTTACAAGGAAACCAATATATATATATAAAGAGGATTTTGGGAGGTCTCTGTTCAATCTGTAACAATACATATGGATATGAATCATTTGATGAGTTTCGAAAATTACTAATACAATGTCTTATTCTAAACTTGAATTTACAGGTAAATATTAATTGATTGATGACTTGAAAGTTTGAACTTGTGGAATAATGAAAAAAAGCAATTAATATAAATAGTATTTCATAACTGAAACAACTTTTTATTAATTGGATAATTGCTATTGATGCTAGTGTTGATTTAAAATTCTTTCAAGAAACTACTTTTTTTTTTTTTGTCGCAATAAGTCACGTGATCAAATAACACATACATTCGATTAAAAATTTTTTTGTTTAATATTACCTACAAAAAAATACAAATAAAAAAGAAGTTAAACCCAAATAATAAAACAAAAAAAAATAAAAAGAAAATTTTGAAGTTAATTTATTATATTAAAGAAATAGATCATTATACCTCCATGTCCAAGGGATTTGAGGGACTGACCACCTAAAAAAAAAGAAAACGTTAATGATCATTTCGTTAAAAAAAGATGAATTTTTTTTTAAAAAAAATAACCTGATATCTACCTTGAGATCCATTGTTAACGCAACTACGCTACTTTCTAATGATTACATTGTTAACATACAATAAAATCATGTGGTTATACCGTGCTTGTGGTGATGTTATTTTTTAATTATATTAATTTATAATTAATTTCCTCCAAATTCTGAACTTTGGAGCTAAATTCTTTTAATTTATTAAAGGTCTCAAAGTTAACAACATTATCGATCTGATTTTTGTGAACAGATATCAGATCCTTTTCGCATCTTAAACTAGCACATCCTGATGATAACTTAAAATCATCATCATTCAATTTTCTTGTATTCCCCTGAGTAAATAATGTCTCTCTTAATGTTCTGGAAATTGTATGCTTATTATTATTAAGAAAAGAAACAATTAGTTACATTCAATTTAATAGTTTGATACTATTACATTAATCCATTTTTAAAAATATATTATGTTTTTGAATAATACTACTTGTCTATAAATAACTCGGACTTCAAAGTATTACTCTCCACACCGAGAAAATATAGGATACAAAGCTCCATGTATCTTCCCATAAATAGATTTTTAAAAATGATGTTAAAAACAATTAATTAAAGAAAATATATATACCGTAAAAGTTTGTTTATTTGTTGCTGTTATCTATAACAACAACTCTAGCAACTTGTGCATTCTTGTTGTGCTTGGACTTACGAATTGTTGTTATCTTGATAAGCAGTTCATTATCATAAATTATAAAAATGTGATAAAAGAAAAATCGAGAGGTATTTATAAGATTGATACAAATTTTGCCTTATACAATATCGAACTAATTCATGTGGTTAACTAAGCCATACATATCTAAGCCTTTAGCTTGATTATTCATTATGAGGCTTAAAAAAAAGTTGGGTATCGGAAAAACTCAAAAGTATTGTGTATTGTGATCAAAGCCACAAATTTTACAATAGAATTAAATCTAATTCATGTGATGATCCAGATTTAATAAGCCATATATAGTAAGCCTTATTTGTAAATTAATGTAAGCCTTTAGCTTGACTATTTTTAAGAATTTTCATATGGCTTAAAAAAGTGAAATATATTATGATTGTGTAATTTAAGTAATTTGTGTAATTTCAGTTCAAATTTTTTTAATACGAACTTTTTCAACTTTTTTGTAAATACAATACATAAAATAAACTAGGATGCAAGAATTTATATTGCCATAGTCTCTAGAGTTAACTAACCGTCTACACGGATTATTTCAGCCCCATAAAGTTTTTTTAGAAAATTGATCAAATGTCTGAGTTCTTCAAGAGTAAAAAACTAGAAAAATAATTATATTTTTATTTTAACGTTATTGTTTAATTCATAGTTTCAGAATGCTTTGATGTTAAATTTAAACGAATCAGGTAAAATAATTTATTTGAAGTAATTTATTATTTTATTAATAATGGTTTTTCTTGTCTAATTTTATTTAATAATTTTAATAATAAAATTAATCGAAAATAGTCAGAGTATTATTTAATAAATTTAAGTTAGTATTTAAAAAATTTTATTAACTTAGGTTTAATATTATATCTTAGCGGAAATTTTTATGGCAGGTTCTTGAGATTCGAGACATTTAAAGATTTTTTTCTAGAAATATTCCGTCTGTTGAAACAAGTAATATTTCAATTTAGGTAAACGCGGTAAGATAATATTATTTATTAATTAAAGCTTATCCGCGAGTCAACTGCAAACGATCTGCGCGTGGCGTCAAATAAAAGTAAAAAATTATGTGAAAAAATTATTGTAAAAAACAAATTATTTGAAACTTTGAGAGTTTGGGATAAATATTATGTATGTTGTTGGTATTGAAAAAATTACATAAATTTGCATAAATGAATTTTTTACAGTTGACTCACGGATCACGAATTAAAATGTTTTTAATATTGGATTTAATATTAAATAAAAATGAATTAACTATCATATGAATATACTTAACAGTTAATGTTAACGATAATGTACTTTTTAAAGAGTATGAAATGAAATTGGAATTTTGACCATTCTTTATGTTGAATTCAGTTACATAGGCCTAATACAATAGCATCTTCATTTAAATATTTCAAATATTATAAATACTTTAATATGAAAATTAATAATCATCATATCCCTTTAACTTATTCAAATTCACCATATACTACGGATTTCCTTTATTATAGTTATAAAGAATGAGAGTGGTAATTAACGATATTACACATAGTGAAAAGTGCTTTCGACAGAATATCTTCACGCGATTGTCGAATATCATTAAAATTATAGAAAAGCCTGATTGCCGATGGATAATAGTGTTTCTGACCTTAACTAAAAAATGATTAAGCTCGTTTCATATCATATGAAAAAATATATCAATAACGCTGTTAAAATAGTGTGTCTTGCTACATTTAAAGCTTTTCGATTCTTTATAGTACGAACGGATCAAATTGTTAATTGCCGATTAGGAAATAAAGTTAAATTATTCATATCAAGAGAGGGAAATAATGAAAGTGGAAAAATATATCATGTCTTTTCAGTTCATCACCGTGCTGTTTTTACATCACATTATTAACAGTACACTTTAATACGTTTCATTTGATAATTAGCGTCTATTTATTAAAATTTAATACTGTATACTGCAAATTAACGAATAAATTTTTTATACATATAAAAAGTTATAATGAATAATATGTATAAGTTATACATAATTATTGCTATACCCTATTATTTATATTATATCATAGAATAAAATAATAATATTTTTTTTTTAAAATATTTTTATAAAATATTTCCTATAGGATCACACTAGTTCTTTTTGACCGATAATTTCATATATTGGTTTAGAAGATAATCAAATATCAAGAGAAAGAAGAAATAAACAGTACTTGTACATAACTATAATCCGACTAAATTAATAGCAGACAAAATAATGAAAAATCGACGTAACCGCTTATTGCGTTATATCAGTATGAGCCAATAATAATACATATTGAATTGAGCCTAAGATAACATTTTTACTATTTTGGAGTGACTAATCTCTGCTGCCCTCTATAAAAAATTTTCTGAAAAAAACTCCGATGAATGTTAGAAAAAGAAAAATCAAAAATCAAGCTAAAATGCAAAGAAAATATTTCATTATGAAATTTATTTATTCCCTATTTTTTTTTTTTTGTAAAAAAACAGATGAGAAAGCACGTCAAATTATTAAATTTGCGGATGAATCAATCAATTTTAAAGTTATTTTTATTTATTACTATTCTATTCATGCTAACAGTTGTTGTACGGACACAAAAAAAAAGTTAGCATCAAACGTGAAAAGTCACATTTAATCACGTGATTATTAATAATATGGAGTATGGACTGTACTACTGACGTTACTCAACAGAAATCCTATATAAACAAAAATGGATCCTTACCAGGACATTATGCCGTTCTGATTTCTTCATTTATATTTATATCTAAATATTTTACTTACTGCTAGTATTCATAGCTCAATATCGAGTTTCTTACGATTTACTCCACCAGGCGGTCCTCTTACCTATGGACAAACCTCACGGGGTGGCTATACTTCTGGTATTCTTACACAATGTACAGCTAATATGGCTCCTAGACCCAGTAAATAGTTTTTGTATAAATTTATACCAAACGGGCTCATTGGCTCGAAATTAGCATTTAGAGCCAATTATATATGGATGAGCCCATTTGTTACAAATTTATGCAAAAACTATTTACTGGGAGACCAGGTTATGGTATACCTTTGGGTGGTATATCACCAATGGCAGCTCAGGTTCAGAAATAGAAAAATTGATAATTCTTTTCATTGATATCATGATGATTGGATGGAAGAATTCTCAAGGTAGTGATCAATTATTTAATTTTTTGGTGGGCAAATGAATGCTATATATCGATACTTGTCAACAAATTGACGATGATTTCCAATCGAAGGGATGGAGATTTTAATGAACACTATATTATCAAATGAACCTTGAGAGCTTTAAAAGAAGGCGTAAATATTTGGAGATGCGATCAAGAAAAAACTTTTGTATAATTTTCTTACGTATTATTTTGGATGCTAAAATTTTTTTTCCCAGATAGCTTTCGAATTTATCTTAGTCTTGAAAGCTTTAATGCGCTTATTGGGCGCATGAACATTTTCAGGTGTGATTTTATCAAATACTTTAGCTGGCAATTTATTTTTGTTTTTTTTTGATTTGCTTATCTGGCGATTGCAAAGACTTGTGGTACATTAAAATCTTGGAAACGAGTTAAAGACTAATCCGGAAATCCAAAGGGTTTTGGATTTGCGGAATATGCTGTGTACTGCGTTCTTTGCGTGTACTTGGTGGTGAAGGATGATAAAAGATAAGGGAGTTGTTCTTCCTGCTTTGAAGGAAGGTGCTAATAGCAAAAAATTAATAGTAAGCAATCATTTCTTGGTAAATTACTTTTTGATCCTAATTCTTCATCTAAATACCATTTTATCCACGCACATATATTATAGGTTAAAGCCGATGAAAATACAAGAAAATATCTTGACCGATATGAGGCTTCAAGGTCAAGAATGGTGGTCTGTATTAAACTATAGAAATATTTTTTTTTTATTTTTTAACTATCACAGTTGATGTAAATTATTGTCTTTCAGAATGATACAGAGTTGGATAAAAGTGCCTTGTTATCAGTTATAATCGTTGTTGAAGACATGACTAAGCCACAGGATAGAAAAGATCTGTCACCTTCAATAAATTCGCAATATGAAAATAAACTAGCTCTTCGAACATCACCAGCTACAGAAATAAAACAGAACATGGAGGAAAGGATGATGACACAGATTTACCGGCTGATCTTCTTCTAGATCAAAAGGATCTTATTTATCAAGAAATAGCATACTTTCGAGAACGTGCTGCAGCAAGAGAACGAGGGCGTCAGAGAGAAGAGGAAGAACGAGCAAATCGTAGAGCTAAAGCTGAAAAAGAAAGAGAACGCTTACATGGAAGGGTAAATAGAGAGAGAGAGAACGTGAGAGAGAAAGAGAGCGGGATCACGATAGAGTTCGAGATCGGCAATATGTACATTATCATCAACCAGTAAATTTTATTCCTGCAAGAGAATCAAGACGCGAATCTTATATTTTAGCGATAAAGAAGAGGAACAACGCAGACAAGCTAAAAGAAAAACTGAAACGGAAATGGCTTTTAAAGAGGTATATTAAATTATTTAAAATTTTGATTTTGGATTATATATACTGATTTTAATAATAATTATCTTATATTAGAGAGAAAGACGATGGCAACATAGAGAAGAAATAATGGCAACAAATCGTGAACGTGAAGCAGAACGAGATCTAGATGTTAGAGAAAAACCAATTCGGGATCGGGAAATAATGGCGAGAAAGTTAGCGGATGGGACGATGACATTGTAATCAATTTAACGGAGAAATTATGAATTTTAACTTTTTTTATAATATGTAGATCTCGTTCGTTGGTGGTTCCATCGACGACAGTTCAGAGCACGTGAATTGGCTATGGATGAGGCAGATAGGTTGCGTGAACAGCAGGAAATTGAGCTTGAGCAACATCGATTACAGACGCTTGAGGAAGAAAGAAAGCAGCGTGAAGAAGCTATGGAAGCAGAATTAAATAAGAAATTTTAACGCTTGCAACAAATGGTGCTTCACAAAATAATAGCGTTAAACCAAAACTAACTCTTAATCTTGCATCAAACGTCGCGCGGCATTAATGGCCCCGGCTGAAGATGAGGAATTTGACGATGAAGAAGGTATTGAATCAAAACGTAAACGTCGAATTTTAGTTCCTTTAGAATATAGTGATAATGAGGACGATGAAAACAAAGCCGAAGAAAGGAAAAAAGAAAATTAGTTAAAGAATTAGTGGCAACTATACCAACGGTTTAGTCTTCAGAAAGTTGACAGTAATTAATAACCGTAACTAATAATTATGGTTTTGAGACTTAATATTAAAGAATCTTTATGCTAAACGATAAAAATTAAATTTTGCATGATTTTTTAATTAATATACTTGTGATAAGATCATGAAATTGTACTCCTTTGATACCAAACGCATGTGCATACCAAAATGATCGAATTGTCAAACAATTAATTTTTCCATTTAAATTACTAATTAGACTAGTTCAAATTTCTATAACATACAGCAATGCAGATCGGTTTTTGAAAGTAGTATATAATAATAGAAATGCTTGAATTTGTATTACAATAATCATTCCTCCCTTTTTTTCTTTTTTTTTGAAACGTTTTGTTTTTTTTTGAAACACGTTTGATAAAAAGAAAAGTTATTAATAGTAGTTAATAAATAAATTAAGATATATATGACGAGAAACATATATAAATGTTCTGTAACCCTCCAAGTAAAAAATTTAACATTTTTCAAGTCTCTTAGTAAAAATGTTCAATTAAAGGTGTTGATCACCTTTATCTGCTGTTTAATATCAAATGTCCTTAAAAACATCGCTTCTATTTTGCATTTTTGGAATGTAGGAATACGTTCCCAAACAAAAATTCATAAATTAACTGGTATTCCTCTTTCAACAATTTAAATATAACATCAAAAATTGAAAGAAACTGGCAATATTTTGCATAGAAAACGGAATAGTAGACGTCCTAAAAAAATAACGGGTTCATATTCATTACGATCACAACCGATATATTCATAAAGTAATTCACAATCTTTACACACTTTTGCTATAAAATTGTCAAGAAATTTAAATGTGTCTTATGTGACAGTAGGAAACCGTTTAAAGGAACTTGGTTATAGAAACAGTTTACCAATTGAGACGCTTATGCTAACAGCTGGGCTCAAGATCACCTTAATGATCGATGGGAAATAACATTATTTTTTGACGAGACAGCATTTCAATTGTTCAGAAATACAATTAAATATTGGTATAAGGGTCCTAGCCAATTCGGCCTCTTCGGCAAAAAGTTTTAGCATGGGCTGGATTTTGCGCTAAAGGAAAAACAAGTTTGTTTTGCTTTACACAAATTATGGATGCTAGATTTTATATTGAAATTTTACGGCAGCATATTCCAAAAGTTAGAAGAATGCTTGATAGAAGGTGGAGGTTCTAATAGGATAATAATCCGAAGCATACAAGCCGACTTGCAAAAGAATTCCTTCAAGAGAACATTTCCGATATTATTAATTGGCCTTCAAACAGCCTAGACCTTAACCCCATTGAAATTTTATGGAGTATTGTTAAGCATAATGTGGAAAAGCATATGTCGCAAAAAAATTCCAGATAGTTTTTTGGTTAATCTTATCCAATCAATGATCATGAAAGAAATGGGGAAAGGATTCCTTATTAATTTATTTAATTTTTATATCATTGGAAAGCTCTAGTTTTAAGCTTTATGATGCATTATTGAAGGTTTAATAAAGAGTTTTGGAGATCAATTTTTTTCTTAACGTTATAACATTAAATAATACGATTACGAATAATAATAAATCATGGACCGAGATAAATTATTATCAGATATAATTCCTATTCCAGCAAATAATACGGACATTGATTTGAGAATTAGAATTTTTATTCAAACCTTTACCAAGATTAAATGATCAGAGTAAGCTTTTAATCTCCTTCCTTTCTTTACATATAGTATATATATATAATAATTTTTTTTTTTATCTGTAGATGCTGAATTTAATTGAAGGTATTGATCCTTCAATCAAAGAAATTACGATTAAATTTGCCATTCCAGTGAAGTTACCTACTGCGAATGAACTAAATGATGATAAATATAAACCAGATCTATTACGACAAACGTTTTCAGGAGATTCTAAACTATGTACCATGGAAGTGATAACTACACAGTGCATATTCCAATTTTTGAAAGCACATTTAACCAACAAAATTCTACCTATTATATGTTTGTTGAAAATAATTTTGCCATCTCCCAAGAGAGAGATGAACCTTTATTGAGAAAATTTGGACGTTGTCAACAACTGAAGTATTATACATATTTTTTTTGTTACAAAATAACTTAAAAATGTTAGAGTGTAACGGAAATTAAAATACTTAATGAATTTTTATTTCAAAAGAAGGTTTTAAGTAATAATATTATATACAAAATTACGAAAAAAACAATATTTATTTGTTAACTTTTTTTTTTGAATAATATGAAGCGCTTTCTTTTAATGTTATTAATTATTAGCATTAAGCGTTTAATAATTTAAAAATCTAAATAATCATTTGATTATTTAATCGTACAGCCTTAACAACCTATATGCTAATTTACAAATTTATGATATTCTTTAATATTTACATGAAATATACTATAGCATAAATATATCTAAAAAACATATTATTTTACGAATTTCATTCATTAGTAAATAAATTTCGGAGATTATTTAATTAATTTATGTCATTTCGAATTTTTTCAGTGACTTTTCAGAAACATTACTAGTTGATTAACACGGAAATTAAATACGTCAAATTAACTATGCAATTATAAACATTGTAGCTGCATTTTAACATCAATATTATAAAAATGAAAAAAACAATACTTTAAAAATTTTAATATAAAAAAAATCCATATTTATGATATAGTCATAATATATCAAACAACGCAACCACATTACCACAGTATTGTAAGTGTATTGCAATTTCGTATTAACATACAATGCCAACCTCATCAGAATTTTTTTCCAATAAAAATCCACATGGAAATCTACATCGAATATTGTGGAAATATGTGGAAATCCGAATAGTTCTAAATACCCTGTGGAAAAACACATGGTATTTTCGGCGTAGATCCACAAAATTCGATCCATGTGGAATTACATGGATCGATCTACCTAAAAATTTCATGATGCTGTGAGAGCGATGTCATAAAATCACAGGTTTCAGCAATTGTATATATAAAGATTATTTTCTTGAATTGCTTTTCTTAACATTGTTATGATTCTACATACAAAAAAAAATGTATATAAAAAAAAAAAATAAAAAAATAAAATGTGTTCTAAATAATGCCTCAATTATCATTAATTTTTATGATTTGTTGCTCTTTATCCAATTTTTATAAACGCCGAAGAAAACTACAGTGCTGATAATAATCCTGAACAACAAAGGTTAAATGATAATAAATTTCACATCATAGTTTATACTTATTATGTTGTAAGATTTTTAAATGCAATTGGGTGTTAACCTTCGTATTTTGTAAATCTGGTAAATGTGATTATAGTTAATTATCTTCTTAATTAGTATTGCGATTTTACAAATAATAGCCGGTCCATTTTGATTTTTATGTTAAACATATCACTGATAATATTTAACATATTTTAATTTATGTAATATTTTTGTAATATCAATAACATATAGACAGAATAGCTTTATGATATTTCTCTTATATTCCAAATTACTAATAATTTAGCAAATATTTTTGTAATTTAAATAACTTATTTTTGGAATATTTCTATTTATTATATACTGAAATACAACTATATTATGGATACAGTATATGCAAAAATATAGCAAAATTATATATTTTGCAATGCTTAGTATTTGAAATGTATATAATATTTAGTAAATTTTAAACTTTTCCGAAACTTTTCCCCCTTTCTCTCGTCCTATGCCTTTCCTTATTATCCCTCATCCCTAATTCTTCTCTCTATAAATTTCTTATAATTAAAGAAAAGTTTAATAAACGGTTCGATTTTTTCTTAAAAAAAAACTTTTTCTTTTAACCGGAATTCTTAATTTTTTATCTCTCTCTTTCTTATCAATTTATTTTTTTTTTTGAACAAAATTTAGGAAATCGGCTTAACAGGAATAACTCTGCGCCTGGCCATAAAAAATGGCAGTTCTGAACGTTCGTTATACAGAAATCCAATATCCAAAAAAACCGAGGGGAAGAAGACTTCCAAAATCCGAATCTCCTTGAAAGCGTAATCGACCTTGAACAGTGAATTCTAATACCTCTCCCCCAAATCCAAACTCCAAAAAATTCCTCCAATCCAAAGAGTGTTTATAATTCATTCTAGATTGCCATTAAAAACCTTTTTGTATTTCTTAGAACAAAAAATTCATGTTTACATTTATTTACCTGGTCTCTAACGAAAATCTACCCATACTATTATTTTTTTTGATCTTTGAATGTTAGACCCCGCCATTGTGAAATCTTGTATTATAAAACAGGTCTCAAATATTGCAGAGTTTCTCCTTCGGGAATTTTTAGACGTGCCAAAACATATAATATTATTAATACTACCAAACCTACTATAAGTATTATTAATGGATAAAATTCTTCAAAATAATCTCCTGTAAATAGAATCAAAATTTAATGAAATATTAATCATTTACAAATGTCAAAAATATTTAATGAACACACTTACAGGTCATTGTAAAAGGTGCGCTTTCATCAATTAAAGATGTACAGTGTGGGACAAAAAAAATGAGAATCAAAACATCTATACACATATATATATCGAATAAATCACGTGAATTTTTTTGCCAAAGACTATTAAAAAAAATTAATATCACCATTTTTCAATAATTAACTCACAACGTCGTTTCATTGACTTTGAAAGATTGATTAGAACGGTATTTGGTATATTTTGTCCATAAATTTCTCCAGATCATCAGGCATCGTTTATCTACCTTATTCTTTAATAATTGACCATAAGTTTTCAATGGGGCTTAAGTCGGGGCTATTGGATGACCACTCTAAAACTACTGAAAATTTTCTTTGAAGAAGGCCTTTTGCAAGACGACTTGTATGAGTGCTTGGGATCGTTGTCCTGTGCGCCAACGATCACCAAGCATCTGGGACATCTCAGGAGCATGTCTACGATGAATTTCCACATAAAATTCAGCATTCAGTCATGATTTGCTTGTAACAAAATAAGCTTGTTTTCCCCTTCGCCCCACGCCATAATTTTTGTATGATCTTTAGGCATACGCCGAACCGGCCTCTCTCCTTTATACCAACGTTCTACAGTATTCCTAAAAAGCTGGAATAATGCTGCTTCATCTGTAAACACAGTTTTTATTCCATCGGTCATTAATATGTTGTCGTGTCCACTATACCCGTTTTATTTTGTGTGCTTCAGTCAGCATTGGTGTTGCTTTGGGTAGTCTTTTAAAACAGCCAACTCCTGAAAGGCGCCTTCCAACAGTTCTATAATGATACCTCTACACCTATATTTTGTAATTTTTCTCGCCAAAGTCCTTGTGGAAAGAGAAGTATCATGGCTAAGTACACGGGAGGCGCTTGCGATAATCTTTTTAGGTCAACCATTCCCTCCAGCATGCTCTAACAAACCAACGAACCATTTTTTTTATTTTTTCGATTTTTCTATAAATTGTGGATAGTGGAAAGTTCGTAAGCTTGTGTAGTTTTTAGTATCATGTATACCGTTATTCCACAATCTTAATAGTTTCGTCGTAAGTTTTCGTCATTGCGCAAGATGTGGGTAAACACAAAGGTTGTCAAACGTAGCCACAAAAGTTATTTATTATGTATTGAGGTAGTACAAAAACAATCTCATTTTTTCACACTATATTTAGGAAATTTAATTCGTTGGCTTAATTATTAATTGGGAAATGATCGTTGATCAATCACAAAAAAATTTTTTCACACACTAATATTAGTTGACAGTAAAATTTGATATTTTACTGATTTACTGTTAATAATAAATACACCTCTAATTGCAAATATTTTTTATTATTATTAAAACAACCATAACATAATGAAGCTGTAATTTATACAAATGGATTTATGTATTTATGTAATTTGATTACCTGCATCACTAAAAAGTCTTTCGCTCGGAACTGAAGTAGCTATTATACCCAAATATTTTCTCGCGATTTTATAAAGTAGGGAACCTTCAGTTATCTGATTTTCATACCATCATTCAAAGGGATCTACTTCGGGAAGAGCCTGTGGTGTTTTTATTTCATCCAAATAGTAAGAATGTTCTTCATAAATTGGAATTTGAGACCGAGAGAAACCAAGAACACGGGATGCAAAAAGTTTTGCATTTTTGATTAACTTGAAAATGAGTATTTGTATTTGTTTCTTTCAAAGACTCTTTGTATTCAGATCTTAAAAGTGATGTTTAATTCTTCTAGCCACCCATGCATTTGTTTAGATCTTGGATCCAATACACTTGCCAAAATAGTTACGTTAGGTGGGTTATCAAAATAGTCATAAAGCGCATTATAGATTTCTTCTTTAATTGATTAATAGAATCTATAGACTTTCGCATCATCATCATCTGTTAAAACAAAAATTTATATTAATAAATGATAATATAATTTAAAAGTAAAATAATAATTAAAAATTACCATTTTATTATCAAATTCATCATTATTTTCATCACTAAGTATGTTCTACCACTTCTCCTGTTGTAATATTTCTAAAATAAGATGAAAAAGTTAATCGACTGAACAATAAAATATTTTCAAAAAAAAAAATTGTTTATTCATAAAAATACTTACGGAGAGCTATACCAATACAACGCTATTCTTTTTTCGTCTAGCTTTTCAATTTTAATAAGCCCTTTATTTGATAATATGCTACATTCAACATATCCGTTAGCATTTCCTAAATATACTTCGCTAAAAAGAAGAATTATTATTGTGTCATTATAATTGACCTTCATAAATGAGGATGTTCCATCATTTAAACTTACCTCATAATCTCACTGCTGTAATTAATTATCAATCCATGTTTCCCTTAATACCATTTGTTACTTTAGCATAAAACAACATTATATAATTATCAGTTAAAGGTAAAAAAAAAAAATTCAATATTAATGGGTAACCTGCTTCCGCAGGAAGAGTGTAATTAAGATCCATATAATTGATTCGTCCTGTTATTTTACTTATCACTCTTAAGGTAGCATGCATGCTGGATCTTCATCTTCGAAGGCTATCCAGATAATCAAATAACCACGAGCCCATTAATTGGTTCTTCGTAAATGAATGACATAAATAACTTGTTTGAAAGCTTAAAACTAGAGCTTTCTAATGATATAAAAATTAAATGAATTAATAAGGAATCCTTTCCCCATTTCTTTCAATTACAAGCTAACATCACCTCATCATTGATTGGATAAGATTAACCAAAAAAACTATCTGGAATTTTATTCCATTCTTCAGCCATAAATTGTTTCAATTCATCAATATTTTGCGGCATACATTTTTCCACATTATGCTTAACAATACTCCATAAAATTTCAATGGGGTTAAGGTCTGGGCTGTTTGAAGGCCAATCAATAATATCGGAAACGTTCTCTTGAAAGAATTCTTTTGTAAGTCGACTTGTATGCTTCAGATTATTATCCTATTGGAACCTCCACCTTCTATCAAGCATTCTTCTAACTTCTGGAATATGTTGCCATATAATTTCAATATAAAATCTAGCATCCATAATTTGTGTAAAGCAAAACAAACTTGTTTTTCCTTTAGCGCAAAATCCAGCCCATGCTAAAACTTTTTGCCGAAGAGGCCGAATTGGCTAGGACCCTTATACCTTGTATTTCTAAACAATTGAAATGCTGTCTCGTCAGAAAATAATTTTTTTTCTCATAGATCATTAAGGTGATCTTGAGCCCACTCAATACGCTTTGCTTTTTATGCAGCTGTTAGCATAAGCGTCCCAATTGGTAAACTGTTTCTATAACCAAGTTCCTTTAAACGGTTTCCTACTGTCACATAAGACACATTTAAATTTCTTGACAATTTTATAGCAAAAGTGTGTAAAGATTGTGAATTACTTTATGAATATATCGGTTGTGATCGTAATGAATAACCCGTTATTTTTTTAGGACGTCTATTCCCTTTTCTATGCAAAATATTGCCAGTTTCTTTCAATTTTTGATGTTATATTTAAATTGTTGAAAGGGGAATACCAGTTAATTTATGAATTTTTGTTTGGGAACGTATTCCTACATTCCAAAAATGCAAAATAGAAGCGATGTTTTTAAGGACATAAGTAGGACATTTGGAAGTTATTTATTGGATAATTTAATACGCCAAGAAATTGTGGAACAATGAAAATAAATAAATATAGTGATGGTCAACATTATATATCTCGCGATGAGATGAGACGAAAAAAAACATGATTATTGTAATACAATTTCAAGCATTTCTATTATTATACTACTTTCAAAACCGATCTGCATTGCTTTATTCACATATGTAAAAAAAATGCTGTGAAAAGTATGTTATAGAAAAATGAACTTAGTCTATTAATAGTTAATTAGTAATTTAAATGGAAAAATTAATTAGTTCCTTTCTTTTATTCAGTTATAAGTGAAAAATAAATTATTAAATAATATTATTAATAAAATAAATCATGTAAAAAGTTAATGTAAATAAGTACCTTCAGTAAAATCTATTGCTTCTATGAATAATAGTTAATGATTCTATTACTATTAAAAATTAAAGTAATTATATTTTATTCCTATTACTTTTTAATAAGTACATATTTGCGTTTATTGATGAAAGGAACAATCGCTCAGTCTTTTATCCGAAAAAAAAGGTTGATTTGCGCGGATAAATGAATATTACAAATTTATAAATCAAAAGATGTTTTTCTAGATCATCGTTTATGAGCCTCATAAGCAAGAATACGCGTAACAATACAAGAGTCATAATAGCACTACTTGATTATAAATGTAAAGTCATCATTACTTTAATGCAAATAATTTTTAAAAATTCTTTATATTTTAATCTCTCTTTTTATGCTCCGTAATTTTGTAATTTTAAAATAAAAATTTTCTACCAATATATGAATTTCTTGGTAATTACCTTAATATTTGGTATTTCTTAGCAGTTGAAACAAATGTTCACATATTACAACAAAATTTAAGCAAATTTGTCGCTTTTAAAGTATATAGTGTTTATTTATTTTTCAATATCAGATTTACAGTATTAACCATATATAGAGAAATAATCGTCAATACAGTACATAAAGGAATGAAAAATTTACAATTCAATTAAATGCTTGTTATCAACAATTGGGAAATTAAATGGTAAAATAGCAAATTCACACTTATATTTCGGAAATTGTAAAAGAAAAGATTTTGTGTGATAGGAAGGGAAACTATTATTGATAAATAAATAAATCAAATGGTCGTAGCCAAATTATATTTACTGAGGTTATACCATCCTTTAGCTCATATAAAAACAACATTATTTATGCTTTAGAAAAACACTTATATTACAGAATGCCTAACCTAATCCTAACCCTAATTTTCTTACCTAACCCTAACTCTAATCCTAAATTTCCTTGTCGATGGAGGCGAAACACTTGTCTGCGAAACGACCCTGTCTTTTTGTCGTCGGTTCAGAACCGAAATTCTCATTTTGACTCATTCTACCCATTCCGCGAGAATTGTACGAAAAAGTTAATCAGTTATTAGAATATATAATCAAACTTATTTGCAGTGTTCGATCCTTTAGTTATTATTATCTTTTCTTCAAATTTTTTTGCGCGATTAGTTGGTTAGCCAATAATTGGAGAGAAGAAAAGGGAGAAAAATTTAAACAATTACAAAAAAAAAAAAATTATATAAATAAAAAATTTGGTCTCTTCAATATATGAAAAAGTTAAAATGGTTCATAAATTCATGATTTTAATAGATAAATAATGTATAATCAATTATCTAGCGAAAAAAAAATAAATGAGTAAAATAAAATAAATATAACTACTAATGACTATAAACAATATAAAAATATATATATATATTATTATATACACAAAAAATATATCATATATGTACTGTATTATATATCCATTTCGTTCATTCTCTCGGCTAGTAACTGCTTTTTCTAACGTTTCATATTCATAAATTAATTCTGCACGGAATTTTAATACAGCTTGTCTACCCGAAGCCCTTGCATCATCAAATACAGAACTAAATTTTTTATTTGCAGATTAAGTTAATTGGCTTATTTTCGAATTGTCATTAATAAAATGTGTTTAAACTTACGTCATAAAGGCGACTAGCATATTTTGCATAACTGTAATAAGCAAAATACTTGCAACTATAAATTAAGAATATAAAAATTTATAATAATTGTCAGTTTCATAATCTAATATTTGATCCAATAACCGAAATATCGTTGGTTACGTACCAAAGCATAATATCTCAACCGGTCATTGATCTTACTTGATCCCATCGTCCATTAATCCAAAAATAAACAGTCATGATAGCACCCCAAAAATTCGAAAAATAACTATCAGCGACATTATCAATTTTCACATAACTTGACTTACATTGAATGCGCAATTGCAATTATCAATATAAACATGAAAATGAAAAAGTAAAATACCCTTCTTATGATGCTCAAACTTATATTAATGTAATTTGCTGGCCCTAGATAAAAAATATTTTGAACACAATCATAATAATTAATATGAAGTTTAATTACTTAAGACTTATAAAGATAACTTCAACAATATGTGTTTTTACAAACCTGAGAAAAATCTCAATAATAAAAGCTAAAATAAATTTAAAAAAAAAAGAAATTTAGTATTGATTCAAAAAATTTAATTTATAAATTCAACTTTGCATTTCTACACTTACCAATTCAATCCACATAACTAAAGTAGTTAAAGAAGTTGCGACTGTATAATTTCTTAACGGTACACCATTACTATTTAGATCTAAATTAATTGGATCAAAAAAATCCAATGATATGATGACCAAACCTACTGGTACTATTACAGCTATAAACATTAGCATATCTTCTAAATCCTTTATGCTTAAGTTGAATATATTCCGTCGCAAGCATTGGATAGGGAACGGTAAACGAAAGTAAATAAGCTAGAGAAAGGTTACTATGTAAAGTGTTGTCGATATCCTACGCCCGATAAATTTTATCACATTTTTTTCGGAATAAAAACTAGAAAATGATCATTTATAAGAGTTTTTCCAGAAATTTTTTTTTGTCGTTATTTAATGGCTTATTCTTAATATCAATTTTTTCGTCATATAAAAAAGCTTGACGACATATATACTAGATATACGAATTCAAAAGTAAGAGATTAAATAACATTCCGATAGTATATTATTTGTTTATAGCGTTGTTTTTTGAGTAAGAACGGCTAATCCAGATGATAAGGCAAGTGTGCAGCTAATAGTAGACAATAGACAACAAAATATAAATATTATTATATAAATTAGATATACGGGTTTGAATAAAATTTGCAATTGAATGTTTCCAGATAAATATCAATATAAAATACTACAGTCAGGAATCGTCGTCTTCGGGCGGCTTGATTGTTAGTGATAGAATTACTTTCGACTCATTTGTATGTTGTCCTTGTAATTTTTACTTCAACTTGGTTTTTCTGTAACATAAAAATAAAAAAATCAATATAAAATACTACCATATTCTAATCGGAAAAAAAATTTCAAATTCCAATTAGATATAACAGTATTACATTTTTTTTCAAACAATAATTTAAATGTGCGGATAATCTTTCATTTTAACCAATCTTCTTGTCAAAAAGTAGTATCATTCGTTTTTTTGTTTAAAGGCTAATGATATTTGAATATTTGGCGTTTAAACTTCCAATCTTCCGCTTGATAATTAATCAATTCCTATCATAACAAAATTTAGTCTTCAAAAGCTAACCGTAATAACCGTAACTAATAATTATGGTTTTGAGAGTTAATATTCTTTACGCTAAACGATTAAAATTAAACTTGCCATAATCTTCTAATTAATATGTTTATAATGAGATCATAAAATTGCTCGTGAAGGCTTTTAAAAATCAAGATTGTATGAAAATTTATATTGCGATATTTATTAAATAGAATTAATCCAAATAAATCAATAATTCAAGTCTCGATAAAAAAAAGGTTCGAAAATAACATTATTTGATAATAATCTGATAAAAATACAGTATATAAAATTAGTCACAATGATGTCACACTAACTAGACGACTTAGGTTGCTATTTAATTTTTCAGTTGACTGTCAGGTCAATGCAAGCATTGTTTCCCAGAAGGATACATATTATACTTATGATCATGATCCTTTTCGAATTGACACTCCACTTTAATTTATCCGTCACGGAGAAATAACGATTATGAACGGTCATTATTGAACCACGATTTTTCTTATTGCAATATTTTAAAATAACCAACACGCGACTAGGTTTGAGTTAAAACTCCCAAGTCAAAATTTCAATTTCAAATTGGAATTTTTGAAATGTTATCATATCCCAAACCAAATTTGGAAATTAAAATAGACGTTTGGAGACATATTTAGGATCGAAGAGTGTTTGATTATCGTCGGTCTTGAACTTATGGCTTAAATTTACCAGATGGATGGAAAATCGCAAATTAAATTCGGAGTTGGGTTACAACAGCATCATTTAGGTTTGTAAGGCTGAAGGAGACCCTTGTTTGATTCTTTATATAAAATTATATACGTATATACGCAGATTAAAAATGGAAAGAGAAGAAAGGAAGAGGCGTGTTGTACAAATTGAAATAAATGCAAAATAGTATAACAATAAATTTTCATAATCAAAATTTTTTTATTTCTTTTAAAATACTATAATCAAATTCAATAAAACTCGGGCACACTGGTTACATTATGTTTCATGTGCGTAATAAATTTCATGTATAAGATACTATTCAGTTATTGTTAGTACACAATATGACTCTTATTGTCCAAAAGAAAAACATTTATTGTTGACATTTGAGGAATTGAGAGTCAGAATGATGCTCCAAAAAAGAAAAAAAAATTTTTTTGAGAAACGAAAAAAAAGAATAGAATTTTTATGGCGCAGATGGCGCAGTCTAAAGTATTTTATTAAATTAATAGTATTACATATTTTTTCGTCCAATAAAATTTTTTATAAATAAAAATATTCAGCAAGATCTTTTTCTCTGCTTTAATTCGACCTTATGGATCTTATAGAAGCAGCAGATAAACGTCGATTTCTATTATATTCTCTAATTTTATCGCGTTGATGATTCCACCTTAATAACGCGTGATATGACCTTAGAATTAATTTATTTGCTATAACTAATCCACCAGATGCAAGCACAAGAGATGGAATAAGATCATATGTTATGACACTATTGTAATATAGACCTTGGATAATGATTTGAGGTATATCTTCAACAAAAATGTTTATGATAACACCCCAAAGCATTATTTTTTTTGATCTTTGAGTCAAAGGAGCTGAAAATATTCTAAGGCCAAATAAATCCGACGATAAAGTGTTTAATATTTGTATATCAATGGCTGAAAATAATGTGCACATTGATGATAATGTCGGAGACTCCTTAACCCATTTATTGAAAGATGGATTCATTGCCATTTCAGATACAAAAATATTTATGGCTAATAAAAAATTGATTACAATAGGTAAAATAAAGAATATAATACTAAATAATAACAAATAAGAAAATCAGTAATCAATTAAATTAATCTTTAAAACAATATAAAAATAATATTAAATGAGATTTCTTACGTTGGAATAAATAGATGTGGTGTATTTTTAACCTTTAATAATATAAATGCTAGATCCACGGCAATATCTTGCATTATAAAAAAGGTCTCAATTATCACAGAGTTTCTTGCATTGGGATTTTTTCTACGAGCCAAAACATATAATACTATTATTACAGCCAAACCTACTACAAATATAATGATCAAAGGATAAAATTCATTGATATAATCTCCTGTAAAGTAATAGAATTAAAATTTAATGAAATATTAATCATTTACAAATAACAAATGTCAAAATATTTAATGAACACACTTACGGATCATTGTAAAAGGGGCACTTTCATCAATTAAAGATGTATATTCATTGAATGAAAGTGCAGTAAACCTTTTTTTGTTTATCAATGTACTTATATCATTGAATATAATTTGGGAGTTTGATTCTATTGTATTATCTTTAGCTTCAATTATGTTAAATGACAATAATACTTTTCTTGGGGAAGTAGGGTCATATTGCCATTTACCACTTGTTGACAACCTCTGTTCAGTTACTGGGATTACTTTAGCAAATTCTTGAATCATATTCTTGAAAAATATTGAATGATTCATTTGGAGAAATTTTGAACTTCCTTCCTCGTTTAATCGAAGTAATCCTGTAACTGAATCTGAGTGTTGTGCCATTTTAAGTGGTTCTAAATATAGTAACAGAATATAAATTTTTCTATTCAATCATTAAAAAATTAAAATTAAAAAAAAATATGTATATTACTTGTTGAAAGTGTCCAAATATTCTTTCTAATTCCAATTAAAGGTTCATCTCTCTCTTGAGAGATGACAAAATTATTTCCAACAAGCACATAGTAGGTAGAATTCTGTTGGCTGAATGTGCTTTCAAAAATTGGAATATGTACTGTGTGGTTATCACTTCCAATGGTACATAATTTAGAATCTCCCGAAAATGTTTGTCTTAATAGGCCTGGTTTATATTTATCATCATTTAATTGAAATATTGAGACATTCCCAGTAGATAACTTCACTGGAATGGTATATTTGATCGTAATTTCTTTGATCAAAGGATCAATAACTTCATTTATAGATGGCTTGGCTGACTCAATTACAGGACTAAATTCAGAACCTACAGATAAAAAAAAATTATTATACTGTATATGATATATATGTAAATAAGAAAGAAAAGAGATTAAAAGCTTACCCTTTTTTAATTTTGGTAAAGGTTTGAATAAAAATTCCAATTTGTTTTTGGCCTGTTCCTTTACTCCAAAAATAGTACTAATTGTCCGATATGTATTATAAAAAAAAAACTCTGGCCCGAAAGATCCCTGTGATTGCATATAATTTCCATTATCATCCAAAAGATAAAAATCAATAGCAGATGCATTTTGGTAAATCACAATAAATCCTCCATAATATAAAGCTCTCAAATCAATGTCTGTAATATTTGTTGGAGTAGGAATTATCTCCAATCGTACTAAGGCCCCAGTTGATAAAAATCCCAACTGATAATAATTTATCTCAGTCCATGATTTATTATTATTTGTAATCGTGTTATTTAATGTCATAACACATATATATCCTTCAGCATTATAAGTTAAAGTACATAATCTAAGTGTTATATTATTTAATTTCTGAGTAGTTTCGTAAAGTAGGGAGGGTTTTGTAGGTAAATCTGTTTTCACTTTTAAAAATGACACGTAAATTCTCCAGTATTGAACATTTGGATCTTTTATTACCGATGATCCTTTTGTTTCATCATATTTTAAAATATACAGGAAACCAAAACCTCCATCCACTAAATCAAAATTTAAACTATCTACTAAGGTATATGATGGTAGATTTGGCGCATGAAATTCACCACTACTATGTTCCACCACTTCTCCTGTTTCAATATTTCTAAAATAAGATGAAAAGCAAGTTAATCGACAAATATTTTCAAAAAAAAAAATTGTTTATTCATAAATACTTACGGAGAACTATACCAATGCCATGCAGATATTCCTTTTTCGTCTGGCTTTTCAATATTAATAAACCCTTCATTTGATAATGCAACATATCCGTCAGCATTTCCTAAATATATTTCGCTAAAAAGAAGAATTATTATTGAGTCATTATAATTAACCTTCATAAATGAAGATGTTCCATCATTTAAGCTTACCTCATAAACTCACCGCTGTAATTAATTATCATTCCATGTTTTCCCTTAATACCATTTGTTGTTTTAGCATAATACAACAAAATATAATTATCAGCTACAGGTAAAAAATCAATATTATTAATGGGGCAAACTGCTTCCGCAGGAAGAGTATAATTAAGGTCTATATAATTGGTTTGTCCTGTTATCTTATTTATTATTCGTAAATGGAAATAAGGTAACATGCATTCTGGATCTTCATCTTCAAAGGCCATCCAAATCATCAAATGATTATAAGTGGGTAAAAGAGTTACAAATTTAAGACCATCGATTGGTTCTTCGTAAATGAATGATATATCTTGGGGTGATATATCATGGAGGGATCCATTTTGCGATAAAATATCTCTTGATAATATGTTTTGTGATGAGACGACGGATATTAAACAGATAAAAGTGATCAACACCTTTAAATTGAACATTTTTACTAAGAGATTTGAAAAATGGTAAGTTTTTTTACTAAAAGACTTGAAAATAGTAAGTTTTTTTTACTAAGAGACTTGAAAAATGGTAAATTTTTTACTTTGGGGAATTACAGAACAACAGAACATTTATATATATTTCTCGCTATTATAATTTGATTTATTTATTAACTATTAAATTAACTATTAATAACTTTTCTTTTTATCAAACGTGTTTCAATTATTATTGTAATACAATTTCAACATTTCTAATATTATACTACCAAATTTGTATTTCAAAAACCGATCTGCATTGCTTTATTCACATATGTAAAAAACGTGGTGATAAATAAACACACGCGTCTTTGTTTTTTTTATTAGCTTTCATTAGTATAATACGCTAATTTTGAACTTTAAAAACTGTAAAAAGTATGTTATAGAAATTTGAACTAGTATATTAATAATTAATTAGTAATTTAAATTGTTTACGTCTACACACTTTGAAAGTAATTCGGAACCTAGTATTTGGTATGATGCACATGTGCTTGGTATCAAAGGAATTAGTAAAACAATACCTTGTACAAATAAACTTTGGAAGCAATTAAATCATATAACTGAAGCACTGTGATCAATGAACTTTAAAGATATGGTAAATTATTTGCACAAATAATATTCTGGAAATAAATATTAAATTTTTTAAATTTATTAAAATTTATCATAATTTAGTGATAAAATTATGATATCACTGCTCGCAGAAATTCATTTGACATTTTGGTGTATTATTACTCTTCGTCTATAACTCAGCTATGTTTCATCATTCTATGATTATTGGATGCAAAATGGCGCAATAAACAAGCCAATTTGCCGACATTTTGACATATTATTCCTCATATACTGTATTGTACCTAGAGATATGAAACCATTGCAAGGGAGTGGAAGGATATTCATAAAAGTTTACGTCTTAATTTAGAGTAAAAAACAATGATAGAGAGCGAGGTAACACAACATAAGCATTATATTAAATTAACGTTAACATGAGACATTCCTATTGTTTAATTGTCATGATCAGCCGATCTATTTTGATAACAATCCGTAATAAATTACGGAGACATACTACACGTTACATTCATTACAATACACAACTCAAAATTAACCCTATAATTTACTAGAGATACCGTAAAAAATTTATTACGTATTTTTTTATTCCATGTTATTTCTGTAAATGTATCAAATTTACGGAGTTTATAGCCTCAAACATGAAAATTATTATTTTCTCATAAATGTATCATATTCACGGAGTTTTTCAGAAATTACGTTTTACAAAGTTGGTTTAATTAGTATTTCTATTTAACTATGAATAATAGTTAATTATTCTATTACTATTATAAATTAAAGTAATTATATTTATTCCTATTACTTTATTATTACTGTTCAAAAAGACTACTAGTAGTATTTAAAAATTTATAAAATATTTATAGTATTAAATATTAATAATTAAAATTGATGAACTGCAATAAATATAGAGTATATATACTACAATTACTAGTACATTATGTAAATCCATCATCATCTATATACCGCACAATCTCTCGCTTTCATGTTCCAAACTTGTGAAGGAAAATGAAAATGAGAAAAAGAATATGAAAATGAGGACAAAGAAAGTGGAGAGGAGAAAATTATTCTCTTAACGCTGTGACTTGTGTGACTTGTTATTATTCTAGTAAAATTTCACGAATATGTAAATTCATAGAAAATTCAGATGTACAATGATTTATTTAAGCGAATAATATAATCTTTTTTATATCATACCTGCTGTTTTCTATTTTCACTTCTTTCTTGATGTAGTTTATTTGACATAGTAGCAATTTTAACAAATTCTAATTCCTGTTTTTTTTTGAAAAACAATTGGCGCATGGCCTTTAGCCATTTGGTCGGGGTTAGATGTTTGTCCATGACTAAAAATGGTCAAATATAGCCAAAAAATCTAAATATCATCGGAGGGGACTATCACTACTACCAAAAATTAGGGAGGAGTTCCGAGAAGTGAATTAAAAATTGTGTCTGAAATTTCGCTAATTGTGATGATCATCACTGCGGAACATCGCCTTTCATTTTTACTTAATTCCTTTATCTTAGTTTAGCCCCCTACCTCCTTTCCTTTCTTTCTTATTTTACGAAACTGGAAAAATAAAATTTAGATTTTTTTCTTTCATAAAAATTTGCTTTTATAAATAAATTGATACGAATTTCTTGGATTGTACTTTGGTCTTTGCTGTTTTACTTGTGAATTTATCTCCTATTCTCCGGTTGAATTCGCTACGAAACTCAGAGCTTTAAATTCTCGTAGTGTAGTGATTGTATCCGGATTCAGCATATCCGGTTAAGCTAAAGGATATCCGATAAAAATGGATATCCGGATGGTTTTTTTAGTTTACGGGTATCCGGATGAGTATCACGTGACCCAGATACACTCCGTTTCACCTGTTTACCAATTAAATTTTTGGATTACATTAGTTTGTGGCTAACTTAATTCTTACTTATACTCAAACTTTATTAAGCTCGTGTTTAAGTCCGTGACTGATTTCTTTTTTCATTTTATTTAACTCTTACTAACAATAATACTAATTAAATTACTTGGCTTTAAAATTTATACAATTGATACGGATTATTTTCAGATATCTGCTAAGAAACCCATTATAAAATCCTCGAAATTACCGGATTTATCCGGATGCTATCCGGATGCTATCCGGTTTATTTAAAAGAAATATCCGGATATGAAAATCCTTGGATTTTTTTATCCTGGATACTTACCGGATACAATCACTATCGTAGTGAAGTATTACGGTATTTTTTTGTTTTGAGATTTTTTAATAATTTTTAAAATTTTTATTTAGTATGGTCTTTACAGAAACTTCAAGATCGTAGCGATGGCTTAATGCGCAGTAACTGCGTTATAAATACATAGTGATCACATTATGTAATCGTAAAGAAATTACATATAGTATGCTGTTACTGCGCATTAAGCCATCGCTACGATCTTGAAGTTTCTGTAAAGGTAGCCAGAACATACCAACCTCATTCCGTAGAACTACAAAAATCATGTTTCTTTTATTTATTTTGTTCTAATTAATGTAATAATGCATTATCAGAGATTACATTCAATAATGTATGCATTTAAAATAACTATTCTTTGAGGTTATTTATTTATTTATTTATTTTTCGTAAAGCAGGCAATAGACTAGCACAACTATTCTTCGAGGTTTTCATTTTGATATTCTTTGGTGTTTTGTTACTAATCAGTCACGAGATCTTATCTGATTAGCCTAAAATTCACATCAACTACGTGACTGAATGTTAATTTAATTTGTCACAAATCGCCAAAAATTACGCAAATTCTTGACGAGCGTTTATTTATTTATTTATTTTATTTATTTTATTTCTAGAGAGGAGTAACCAATGACAAAAACATAATAGAAGTTAACAACTACAAGTAGCGAAAAACTAATCTATTAGGGGTACTGTGGTTATTAATCCCACATAACAGGACCTCACCCTCCGGAACTACTCTAAACAGTAAAACTACGCTACTGATAAAGCTAAAAGAAAAATAGGAACAAAAAATAAAGCTATCTAAAAAAAGAAAAAATTAGTAATAAACAGTAGCTAAGTTAGAGTGATATTGTGCCCGTTGGGCTTATATGAGAAATAGAATAGTGTTAAAAATATTTGTATGAAAATCAGATAAATCATTGTCCAAAGTCGATAACCAAGGTAAATTATGTAAGAAATTTGATGAAGTAAGGTAGATCCATAAGATATGATTTTCGATATGTCTTCGAGAATCGTTGAAAGGACATCTATATCCATTAATTGTATTGATATTATTAAATTCGGATTGTTGTAATCTCCTCATCGAGTCACGTGAATAATTGCGTCGGTAATGGATGAATGATTTTTTTGTCTTTTTTTAAATTGTTTCCATGAAATCGCTCTATATTTCCATATTTTTTCATAAATGTCTTTATGGAGGTCAAATAAAAATTTCATTAAGATTTTCTTGGTAGTGGCTTTGCTAATTTTAGCAGCTTTAAACGGATAGGTAGTCTTGACGATAAATCGCCAAATTTTTGATAAGCAAATATACTATCACGTGAACCACGTGATAATCACTGATTTAAGCCTACTTTAACTTTTTAAATTTTTCTTTGCCCCTTTAATAAAATTCGTATCTTTCCTTTCACCTCTCTCCTTTCTCACTTATCATACTTTCTATTAAAAAAAATCCTTACATTTATAGACTATTTTTTATTTTTTTTTAGGTTGTCCTTTCGGCTCTTGTGTGCGAAATTTTGGTTGGTTGATTTTTTTTAATTGCTCTTATTTAACGAACGATTAACAGCTCGTTTTTCTTTCTTTTTTTAGGTGATTTTGGGTTATGAGATTTTGATAAAGTAATTTCGTTTTTTTTTCTTTAACGATTTTAATGAATTTTACTAACAATTCATTTTTCGTTTTTTTTTAGATTTTGCCAATTTTCTCTAAAGTGAAACTCGTCCGAAGCTGCAGAAACTAGTGGTCTGAAATATTATCATTTGAATACAACCCATAAAGTTTATGAAAAAAAAAGCGGTATGTATAACTACAAAAATTTTTTATATATTTAAAGAAAATAATATTAATTATATACTGTATATATTATAGGAGCAACTTAAAATTGATGATGAATTTAAAAAAGTGACACCTTACAAAGAACCTAAACAAAAAGAATTAAGGAATTCAGTTTGCGATTGGATAGTAATGGATGGAATACCTTTCAATAAATAGAAATGGTTTTTAGAAGAATGATGAAAAAAGTCAATCCCCAATTTTAACCACCATGCTATCAAACACTTAAGGTCTCGGATATCAAACGGCAAATAAATTAATGAAAAGTATGCTAAATTTTACGTGTGATACTGCTTCAATAACAACGGATTTATGGACATCATGTGCTACAGATCAAATGGAATTAAGGGATATTCCATTATGTATAGAACCAATAAAATATCCGCATACTGGTAGTTATATATGAAACTATTATAGTTAAAGAATTCAATTTAATTAATAAGATTACTACTGCAATTACCGACAATGGTTGTAATATGGTAAAAGCAATCCAAGAATGGGAAGGTACCTTGTTCAGCACACACTCTGCAGTTATGTGTAATAAAAGGTTTAAAAAAAACAACAGATTACGTTGAACAAAATGAAAAATTGGAAGAAGCACAAGCTGAATCAAATGCAAAACTTGCGCAACATGACTTGCAAAATCAAATCAAGATAATAATAGAAGAACGCCAACCACATATTTTACGAACAATTACTGAAGTGTCAACAAGATTGGGATTTGCATTAGCTTCATGGCGAAGATTAAGGGAATTGAAACCTGCAATTAGACGCGCTTTAGTTAATTTAATTATTGAAAGTAATTATCAGAGTAAAAAAGACTGTAGACAGTTGCAGGAACTAATGTTAAATACTTATGAGTGGAATTTATTAGATAAATTAATTGAGTTGTTCAAACCAATTTAAAATTTTTGGGTGGTCAAAAGTATTGCACGTATCATTAATTTATCCTACTATTCAGCTCTGAAATATTCTTATGCAACAGAAAACGATAACAATAAGAATAATGATGAAAACTGTGATAATGAGAATAATGATGATGAAAATAGTGATGAAGATAGTGATGAATTTGATAATAAAATGGTAATGTTTAATTATTATTTTAATTTTTAATTATATTATCATTTATTAATATAAATTTTTGTTTTAACAGATGATGATGATGCGAAAGTCTATAGATTCTATTAATTCAATAGATAAAGAAATCTATAATGCGCTTGATGACTATTTTGATAACCCACATAACGCAACTATTTTGGCAAGTTTATTGGATCCTAGATCTAAACAAATGCATGGGTGGCTAGAAGAATTAAATGAAAAAACAACATCACTTTTAAGATCTGAATACAAAGAAGAAGAAGAGTCTTTGAAAGAAACAAGTACAAATACCCATTTTCAAGTTAATCAAAAATGCAAAACTTTTTGCATCCCGTGGTTTTGGTTTCTCTCGGTCTCAAATTCCAATTTATGAAGAACATTCTTACTATTTGGATGAAATAAAAACACCACAGGCTCTTCCCGAAGTAGATCCCTTTGAATGATGGTATGAAAATCAGAAAAGGTTCCCTACTTTATAAAATCGCGAGAAAATATTTGAGTATAATAGCTACTTCAGTTCCGAGCGGAAGACTTTTTAGTGATGCAGGTAATCAAATTAGTGCAGAAAGAAATAGATTAAAGCCCTCAACTGTTAATGAATTACTCTTCATTAAGCGAAATATAAATACATAAATCCATTTGTATAAACTATAGCTTCATTATGTTACGGTTGTTTTAATAATAATAAAAAATATTTGCAAATATAAACTATACAAAGCCAATAGAGGTGTATTTATTATTAAAATTTTACTGTCAACTAATATTACTAGTGCGCGATTGTTTTTATGATCGATGATCATTTCCCAATTAATAATTAAGCCAATTAAATTCCCTAAATATACAGTGTGGGACAAAAAAAAAAAAGATAAAACTATTATAGCGGTACTACCTCAATACATAATAAATAACGTTTGTGGCAACCTTTGTGTTTACCAACACCTCCCAGGCTCCCACATAAAATCTTGCGCAATGACAAAAACTTACGACGAAACTCTATTAAGATTGTAGAATAACGGTATATATGATATTAAAAAAACTATACAAGCTTACGAACGTTCCACTATCCACAATTTTTAGAAAAATCGAAAAAATAAAAAAAAAATGGTTCGTTAGATCATGCTGGAGGAAAAAGATTACCACAAGCGCCTCCCGTGTACTTAGCCATGATATATAGGTGTAGAGGCGTCATGTAGAACTGTTGGAAGGCGCCTTTCAGGAGTAGGCTATTTAAAAAGACTACCCAAAGCAACACCAATGCTGACTGAAGCACACAAAATAAAACGGGTATAGTGGGCACGACAACATATTAATGACCGATGTAATAAAACTGTGTTTACAGATGAAGCAGCATTCCAGCTTTTTAGGAATACTGTAGAACGTTGGTATAAAGGAGAGAGGCCGGTTCGGCGTATGTCTAAAGATCATACAAAAATTATGGCGTGGGGCGAAGGGGAAAACAAGCTTATTTTGTTTCAAACAAATCATGAATGCTGAATTTTATGTGGAAATTCACCGTAGACATGCTCCTGAGATGTCCCAGATGCTTGGTGATCGTTGGCGCACAGGACAACGATCCCAAGCACTCATACAAGTCGTCTTGTAAAGGCCTTCTTCAAAGAAAATTTCCAGTAGTTTAGAGTGGCCATCCAATAGCCGACTTAAGCCCCATTGAAAAATTATGGTCAATTATTAAGAATAAGGTAGAGAAACGGATGCCAAGAAATCTTGATGATCTGGAGAAATTTATGGCGGAGGAATGACAAAATATACCAAATACCGTTCTAATCAATCTTTCAAAGTCAATGAAACGAGTTAATTATTGAAAAATGGTTAACGTATACCATATTAATTTTTTTAAATAGTCTTTGGCTTTAAAATAAAAAAATTTCACGTGATTTATTATAATAATTGAGTGTGTAATGACCGATGTTTTGATTCTCATTTTTTTTGTCCCACACTGTACGTCTTTAATTGATGAAAGCGCACTTTTTACAATGACCCGTAAGTGTGTTCATTAAAATATTTTTGACATTTGTAAATGATTAATATTTCATTAAATTTTGATTCTATTACTTTACAGAAAATTATTTTGAAGAATTTTATCCGTTGATTATAATACTTATAGTAGGTTTAGTAGTATTAATAATATTATATGTTTGGCACGTCTAAAAAATCCTGAAGGAAGAAACTCTGCAATATTTGAGACCTGCTTTATAATACAAGATTTCACAATGGTAACATTCATATTATTAAAAGTTAAAAATACACCACATTTGATGATTCCAACGTAAGGAATTTCATTTAATATTATTTTATTTATTTTATTTTAAAGATTAATTTAATTGATTACTAATTTTCTTATTTATTATTATTTAGTATGATATTCTTTATTTTACCTATTGTAATCAATATTTTATTAACCATAAATATTTTTGTATCTGAAATGGCAACGAATCCATCATTCTCTAATTAGGTTAAAAAGTCTGACATTATCATCAATGTGCACATTATTTTCAACCATTAACATACAAGTATTAAACACTTTATCATCGGATTTATTTTGCCTTAAAATGTTTTCAGCTCCTTTAACTCAAAGATCAAAAAAAAAATAATAGTATGGATAGATTATTGTCGTTAGAGACTAGGTAATTAAATGTAAACAAGAATTTTTTTGTTCTAAGAAATACCAAAAGGTTTTTAATGGCAATCTTATGAATATAAACGCTCTTTGGATTGGAGGAATTTTTTGGAATTTGGGTTTGGGTGAGAGGTATTAGAATTCACTGTTCAAGGTCGACTACGGTTTCAAGGAGATTCAGATTTTGGAAGTCTTCTTCCCCTCGGTTTTTTGGACTAGTGGATTTCTGTATAACGTTCAGAACTGCCATTTTTTTATGGCCAGGCGCAGAGTTATTCTTGTTAAGCCGATTTCTTAAATTTTGTTCAAAAGAAAAGTAAATTGATAAGAAAGAGAGATGATGAAAAAATTTAGAATTTCCGGTTAAAAGAAAAAGTTTTTTTTTTTAAGAAAAAATCGAATCGTTTATTAAACGTTTCTTTAATTATTAAGAAATTTATAGAGGGAAGAATTAGGGAAGAGAAAGGATGAGGGATAAGGAAAGGCATAAGAGGGAAAGGGGGAAAAGTTTCGGAAAAGTTTAAAATTTTATTAAATATTATATACATTCCAAATACTAAGCATTGCAAAATATATAATTTTGCTATATTTACTGTATCCATAATATAAGTTGTATTTCAGTATATAATAAATAGAAATATTCCAAAAATAAGTTATTTAAATTACAAAAATATTTGCTAAATTATTAGTAATTTGGAATATAAGAGAAATATCATAAAGCTATTCTATCTATATGTTATTGATATTACAAAAATATTAAAAATATTACATAAATTAAAATATGTTAAATATTATCAGCGATATGTTTTACTATTATTTGTAAAATCGCAATAATTAAGATAATTGACTATAATTATAATCACATTTACCAGTGTCAAAAAAAATATCTCTGCATACTCTTATGTAAGTCATAATGCTAATATAATAATGTAAGAATACTAAGTATATTTTCAAGCGAAGGAAATCTTATTTCATACCTTATTACACCATAAAGAGATAAATTTAATGAGACAAAAACCCCAAGATAATGCTCCTACTATATATTGCCGTATGTGTCTACGATCAAGTAGCTAGTATTTATAATGTTTTTAATATTTTTAGTCTTAAGTGAAAACTTACATTATTTATCGCACCAGAAATAAGAATTCCAAAATTTAAAAAAAAAATTATCATCATTATCATTAGAGTCGCATCAAATTAATATCATAGTGATCAGTGAATAACATATACCTGAGATGGTGGTATAGAAAGGTACATTGTTAACCTATTTTTATTTTTTTACAAAACATCCATTTTATAAAAGATTTACAAAATACGAAGGTTAACACTTAACACCCAATTGCATTTAAAAATCTTACAACATAATAAACTATGATGTGAAGTTTATTATCATTTAACCTTTGTTGTTCAGGATTATTATCAGCACTGTAGTTTTCTTCGGCGTTTATAAAAATTGGATAAAGAAAGAACAACAAATAAATCATAAAAATTAATGATAGGCATTATTTAGAACACATTTTATTTTTTATTTTTTTTATATATATATTTTTTGTATGTAGAATCATAACGACGTTAAGAAAAGCAATTCAAGAAAATAATCTTTATATATACATTGCTGAAACCTGTGATTTTATGACATCGCTCTCACAGGTTGTGATTTTAGTAACGTGACAATGCATTGTATGTTAATACGAAATTGCAATACACTTACAATACTGTGGTTGCGTTGTTTGATATATTATGACTATATCATATAAATATGGATTTTTTTATATAAAGTTTTTAAAGTATTATTTTTTTCATTTTTATAATATTGATGTTGAAAATGCGGCTGCAATACTTATAATTGCATAGTTAATTTGACGCATTTAATTTTGATTTATCCCGTGTTAATCAACTAATGTTTCTGAAAAGTCTCTGAAAAAATTCGAAATGACATAAATTAATTAAATAATCTCCGAAATTTATTTACTAACGAATGAAATTCGTAAAATAATGTGTTTTTAGATATATTTATGCTAAAGTATATTTCATGTAAATATTATGAATTGTAAATTAGGTTGTTAAGGCTGTACGATTAAATAATCAAATGATTTATTTAGATTTATGTTCATTATTACATTATGTCTCAAATATAGATAATGAACACTATAGTTAAATGATAATTATAGAAATATAAGATAATTAATGTATATTAAAAAAGTACTCTTTTTATCTTAAATCATTAAACGCTTAATGCTAATAATTAATAACATTAAAAGAAAACGCTTCATATTATTCAAAAAAAAAGTTAACAAATAAATATTGTTTTTTTCGTAATTTTGTTACTTAAAACCTTCTTTTGAAATAAAAATTCATTAAGTATTTTAATTTCCGTTACACTCTAACATTTTTAAGTTATTTTGTAACAAAAAAAATATGTATAATACATCAGTTGTTGACAACGTCCAAATTTTCTCAATAAAGGTTCATCTCTCTCTTGGGAGATGGCAAAATTATTTTCAACAAACATATAATAGGTAGAATTTTGTTGGTTAAATGTGCTTTCAAAAATTGGAATATGCACTGTGTAGTTATCACTTCCAATGGTACATAGTTTAGAATCTCCCGAAAACGTTTGTCGTAATAGATCTGGGTTATATTTATCACCATTTAGTTCATTCGCAGTAGGTAACTTCACTGGAATGGCAAATTTGATCGTAATTTCTTTGATTGAAGGATCAATAACTTCAATTACAGGACAATTAAATTCAGCATCTACGGATAAAAAAAAAAATTATTATTTATATATATATATGTAAAGAAAGAAAAGAGATTAAAGGCTTACTCTGATCATTTAATCTTGTTAAAGGTTTGAATAAAAATGTAATATTCATCCGAAAAAAGGAGCGTAGCAAATTTAAATATTCTATGTAGTACACTATTTACTAACTACGAGATCGTGACAGTTTTTGAATTTTTATATGGGAAATCTTAACGTGTTCCAGGAGGTATACGCTACTTATCCTGTTTCCCCCTCTTACGTCACACACTGATTTATTTGTTTATGCTTCGATGATCAAATAAACTATACACATTTTTTTTATATGCGCAGTCCAATATATTGTTGACACGTGCTCTCACATGATAATGTTCACGAATAACATCAAGCAATATAATATCTGATCCTTTGAGAACTCGTTATTACTTTTATTCCATATAACTATGTATTTCAATTTCAATACGAGTACAACAATACGGTAGATGTAGAATAACTAATAATCGGACATTCACTTATCTCATTCCACATATTCTTCAAATCGACACTCTGTCCTTGATGAGAATTATAGCATCGTATTTATTTTGTATTGCTTTACAAAAAAATAAGAGGTAAAATAAATTGTGTCAAATACCAAAGATATCTAAGGGTATGGTACGTTTCATGCACCCTTCAGATATAATCCGTCCTTAACACACCATCTAACAACCGTAACCAACAACCCTCGTTATTATTTGTGCACAGTAAAGTATCTAATTTTATGATCATTGTATTCACCGTACTTTATTTCCCTTTAACTTGCAAAGTTTTCTATGTCTCTATAATGTAATACAATGTCAATAGTGAAACTAACATAAGTCTAGAGTTGGATTTCACATTACACTAATATATTACTTACGAAATGAATCGTTCAGAAAAATACACTACCTTCGCAGGACAGGTAGCAGTAGAACAAGCTCTTCTCTGATTTGGGTTCGTATCAGAAAAATAGGATTTGGAGACATGGACCCAAATGAATGGGAACCTCCAATTGCTTGAGAAGAGGCGCACTCCTGATGATGATGATGATGAAGACGAGGACTGTCGCTGTTATGCCTATTATATGAGTCATGTAATTCATCTCTAATCTAGAAAGAACATTTCGTCCTACAAATAGAATTTCATTGCTTTTCTTGCCGCCTTGTGTTAAGAGGGAAATCGTTACTTAATAGGAGAATAATCAGGAACAAAAAATTCTTGGTAAGCATGGAGCTCCGTAAATATCTCGTAATACCTTTGTAAAGACAATGTTATTAATTATTTATTTTTTAGCGAAACCACCAAAGGTGCAATTCATGTGTTACCTGTCTACCCTAAATCCGTTTTATAATGTACACGCTCTTTCTGTTAACAATCCAGGAATGTAGCTCTCCCGTTCAATCACTTAATTATAATAATATACAAAAAAAAGTATCTACTGATCAGCAAGGCGTTCTCGGTAAAGTACCATAGTAAAGTAGTAAATAGTGAAATGATTGTTATTGTTTTTTTCCTACATTTCGGAGGAAATGTGTTCTGTACATTGCTTCTCAATGCCCTCCAGGCGTTTGATTCTCTTCTGACAATCCTGAAATCGGGGACTGGTCTCTACCTCACTAGTGGATTATTGCTGTCCGCAGTTTACAAAATGGGCAATAAACGAAAGATGCTCACATTCCCGTATTATTTCCTCTCATTTATTGACGATGTTAACTCTTGTACTATATAACAATCATGGACTTAACATTTGGTCTTCATTTTGTGTAATTACTAACTATTTACGAGTATATAAAAATAAACGTTATATCTTATTTGATCCACATCTTTCCTATTCGTTCGTCTGTTTGATGTTATTTTATAACCGTTACTAAGAAAGTAATGTCCCTTCGGACTGAAATACAACAAGATTCCTATTGTTAACGATCAATATTATCTCCAAAGAGTTTACTAACTAAAACAATCATTATAGTACTCTCGTTGAACAGCGTCCATGCATAAAAAATTCTTTGACTCTCCTGTTCAATAAAGGTATACAGTATTGATAAATATTGTAACAAGTTGAAAGAATAGAAAGAAAAAGAATTGAAGAACAACATAAAAAGAACAAAGAGTTGCAAAAGAGGCGTTATCACACACAATTCAGTTCATATTCGAAATCTATTGTTTATCTATCCCAAATCCCAATGGATAAAAAGAAATCGAGGGAATTATTAACTAGAACAAATAGCTTGATCCTCGTTGTCATTTTTCATTTCTTAAAAATACAAAAGAGATGATTTAGGAAAAAGTAAATGGGATCAATGCAATTTACTCATCTTGTACTAGTTCTAAACGAACTTTTAACTAGCGATGGACAATCAACGTGTTCCCGAGAACATCGAGAACATAACAATAAAATTTTTAATAACGGTGTAGTTGTATTATTAATATATAGGTATTGCACTTAAAAGTCGCAAAACGAATAATAATCTATTTTTTTTTTCATTAAATAGCCGCGTGACTGTGAATTACTATTGGTGCATTAGATAAGGACCTATACCCTTTTCGTATTAGGTTACCCATTTTTTGTAACGACGCAATCTAATCTTGTAATAAGTCGACACATTGTCTTCTACTTAGTAGAAATTATGCGTACAAAAATGCTATACGTTTAAGAATCTCAGAAGACAACTTAAATATTATGCTTGTCTCAAAAAAAGTAGAAATCGAAGAGTAAATGTAGATAACAATAAGAATAATACACGGAATTTATTGGTTCTCATGAAGGATATACAACAGAGATAGTGAGGTAGTTGAGTATGTTAAGTATGTTAAGATATTATTTATTCGAAAGAAATTTACTATTTTCTATCGTTACCATTATACTCACGCTATTTCTTATATATACAGTATTTGTTAGTTAAGTATCATAGCTTGAAACCACACCAAGATATGCTATATGATTATTTATACAAACTACCCGTGTTGAACCTTGATATGAAAATATCGGATAAGCTTAGTTGCCTTCCTCTACTCTGTTGCTTGAATAACGGGGAAATGTCTTGGTTGTTGGTGACGATATTCCATTTGCTTATACTTGGTATATTGCTCTTTTTTACTTGGGGAACATTGGTAAGAAATGTACAAACTTTCAGGAGTGTAGAACTATTACTGCATGAGGTTTCATGTTGTCAGCAAATGGCCATATCATTTCGAATTTTATAAACTGATCACTACTGAAAACTTTAACACTAGGACATATGTTACTCGCAGAGAAAGCAGCAGAGAAAGCAGCAATTTCCGTTTCTAACTGTTTAAGAACAACCGTTCAACGAATGCTAGACATATCTAACGTTGCATAACAACTTGTTTGAAAAAGAGTATTAGCTATGCATTCTTGTATCATAGATTAATGTGTACAAAATATATTTCGAATTAAACACAATCATTGATATAATACTATCAAAGCTAACAAAGTACAAAAGTAATTGACAAATGTTCGTCCACAATTTTGCCATGAGAACACGCAATTAAACAAACGACAAGAAATACCTGGAGGGCATTATCCCCCAAATTTCTCTCTACTATCAAATCTGTTAATTTTTTTTTCCCTCAGCTGTTCATTCAATTTTAATGCCATCTTGAAATATATGTTTAAATCATAAAACTAATTCTTCACGCATTCGTTTATGGAAGTTAATTTTGTCTTTATATTTATTAGCGTAATTCCTTATCTAGTCAATATATGTATCGTTTCTTAGTTTTCTTTTTTCTCTTTCCCATGGTGGCGTTACAGTTGTTGCTTGCTTCAACGTCTGCCTTACTTGGTAACGCAACAACTTCACCTGTTCACTTGCTTCTTTAATAACCTTTGCGGCTTTACTACTTCGCTGAGAAGATTTTCTGATATTTGTCTACTACAGCGTCACCTGATTTGGCGAAGGAGTCTTCCATTCTTTTTCTTCTCTCCCTTTTTTATGAAATTTTTCTTCTTTCTTATCTACTTGCATGGGAGTTAATTCTTTCTTCTCATTTTCTTTTCTTGAAACCGGCAGTTGATTTATTTTCGATTCTTTATCTTCTAATTGTTTTACCAAAGCTAAATCTATATAATTAAAGAATTGTGATATTTTGAATAACCGTACAAATAAAATTACAATTGTAGGCGTCCCTACATCGTCCGTGATCTATTGTGTAATATGTGTAATATGTAATCGCGTAATCCTACATATGACTTTGAATAATAGTGAATCGCGTCCTCCAAATTATAATTATAACAGTTCTCAGAATTGTCAGACAAGAAATGCAGTCTGAAAAGAAGTTTTGTATAATATTATAATATAATAAACCATTATTTCGATTTTTTTTAACAGGATTAAATAATGTGAATATTGTTGGCCCATGTGCCACTTTATAATCGGTTAATACCCGATACGGCCATATCTAGTTAAAAATTAAAAATTTCTAATTCTTAATAAAAAACAATCGTCATCATACTTGTATCCGTCTCTATTTTCAAGTTGTTCATGAATAGAATTTATTTCACTTAACGATTGATCTGTTTCACCAACATTTCACCAACTAATCCAAATTCTTGGACTCGCATTATTTGAGAAAGATGTTCCACACGCGTTTCTAAAGAGCATCATTATGTGTTAATAGGCAAGTTATGTGTAATCCTTGGTTAAAGGTTTTAAAAAATATCATTAGTAACATCAATAATGTTCTGTATTATATTAGTGGAAAGTTTTTAGTTTCGTATCTTTGTTGACGTTTGGTTAAACAGTGACAAGATTTTTTTTAAAAAAAAATGCTTGCTCTGAACGCGTTACCTTACATAGATCGCGTGACCGCGTGAGGATATGATCGTAAGATGATCGTATTATATTATGCAAATCAAACCAATCAGATTTCGGGATCGAATGTGATTTTTTTAGTTTGCACAACTTCGAACGAAAAAAAGGGGATACTTTTTTGATTATAGAAGTAAAAACCAGCACAATATATATATGGTGATTTTATGTGACTGTATCCTTAGATATATTTACGTGATTTTAATTATACAAACTGGAAACATCTACCACGCTACCATGTCTGAAAGTACTAATCCAATGCCATTTGTCTGCAAATGGTTAGATGCTCATTCAAAATCACAATATTTCGAAACTGTGAAGGAACTCAGAAAACACGTCGCTAAATACGACATTAATTCTTGCAATAAATCTCCTCCAGGCAATCTTATTTACATATGTCCGTGCGGAAGGTTACAAGAAATCTCATAATAATAATATTATGTTAGAAGGTATAAAAAATTTGTCAAGTATTTTTTGGCTTTGCGATACTGTAAAAATTAATAATAGGCTATTACCGTATCTTACAGAACATTTACGTAAGCACATTCATTAAGGTTGACTCAAAAAACTATTTTATCCGTTACATTACATTGTGGGTATTGGAACGACCATATTAACTTTTTTCTTTAATATTTAGTGTCCAATTTGTAGCTATACCCGATTTGATACTCCTGATACTCCTGTTGCACTAAGTCAACACTTGATTAACAACCATAAGGACTTTACAGGTGATAGTGAAATAGAAAATTGAATTCAGGTATTCTTATCATAATTCTTTCCTCTATTTAAAATGTAACATGTTTACCCTAACTGGCCTAACATATTTTCTTTTCTTGTTAAAAAAAGATAGCGGTGAAGTCTATCGTGATGTTCTCGTCAAAGGAACGTTAATTAGAATGCCGCCAATACGGTTTAAGAAAGGTAGCTGGACACAAAGAACTCTTTGTCTATAAGTTATGACCAGAGAGAAGAAGGTTTGAAATTATATTTTAAAGGGGTAGATGCTATTTCGACGTTGATGGAGGAAAGGATAAAGGAAGATTTTGCCAATTATGATCCTAATAACTATGATAATTTACCTGAAGCGCCAAAAGATCATTTAACCGAGGAAGAGAGGATAAACTTCTTTGGGAAACAACTTGTGATGTATATAAAGGGACAGATGCTGTCATGATGTTAAGTAAAGCTCGCGAAATGTAAGGAATGAGAATTTGAGCATGAAATCTGTTATTAATTAGATTCTTTACAGCAAATATTTTATTTCTTATAAATATACTTCTCAAATTTAAATCAGAGATTAGAAATAATAAAATATTTTTATTTGTTTGGGTTTATTTATTTTATAAATATTAAATAATTATGTCATTTGTTAAATTCCATATACACAATATGCGCATAATCATATGCTTCAGTAAAATCTCTCGACTGATTAACAGTTTGTAAAAGTTCAAGAGCATCTTGTAAATTTTGGTTTAATCTTGATATAGCTGATGTGATTTTAAGGGACTATAACGAAAATCTACAGCCGAACAGCAATATAGTTCTTTTCCAAAATTATATTCTCATTTGCACTGTAACAGTGTTGTATGGAGTCGATTGACTAATAAAATCGCAGTTTATGGGATGGCAATGAGACATATTAATTCATTAATGTATTATAAGTGTGTCCGTAACGCTCAAGTCCATAGAGGACATCATACATCTTACCAATAATATGGCAGATATCATTTGTCGCATTAACAACTTTTACGCCTGGGCATGGATCTACAATTATAAAAGTTTAAATTAACATATCCAAGTATCTTTACTAGATCAAGATATACTCACTAGTTTTTATTTCTATAGACAACGATTAAGGATCTCTTATTGGAAATTAAATTTTGCCATGTTGGCTCATCAATATTTGGTTCTTGAAAAACTGATATCATGATATAATATCTTCAGGATCGACTAGGAGGTTTTTTTTTTTTCAAAGCAAACTCCGTTATTGTTCTCAAGAAACGTTGTCATGATTTGGTTAAAGGAAAATACTTTGTAATAAAGGAGATAATACTCACCAAATTGTCTTCTTGGCGCAGTACAAAGCCGCCATTATTAAAAAATTTTTAATAATCTAAAAATCGAATGTAAGTAGATTTGTGGATTTGAAGCTGTAGATAAAGCGGCGAAAAAAAATTGTACAATGAAATTCGACATCAATAATCTGGTATATCGAGTCTGATATATAAACAATTTATTATCGTTATAGTCTCAATTCTGTCATATCGAGGTTTAAGATTTGAGTTCATGTTTTATTTTTATTTTATTCAAAGATTATGGTTAAATAAATGTTTGTTGGATTGGATACTGCTTGGATTGTGGGTATGTCTTGGTCGCATCAATTGAAGTGTTCACAACGGCTGAAACTTTCTTTAAAAACAGCTTCCGGATGATCAGCATTAGGCACATAACAATGTCCTAGTTTTCTGAAAATAGGAATTAAAAGTTTAATAACTTCTCCACAGGACTGTAAGTATTCATTTGTTTCATTATCTTTGTCGCAAAAAAAAAACACTCATTTGGAAAGGCCTTATAATAAACCTGGGAAATTAAGATTAAGGATATCAAATGTCGGTAAATTGTTGCTAGAAGTTTTCATTTTCCAACTATTGAATTTACTCAATTTCAGACTCGTCGGACGGTCAAACTGATTGTATAACATCCATATCTGGGTATATTTCCAATCGATAACGTTATTTAAATTGAAATCTTTGATGATCTTTAATGATTTGTGAGATAAATGGTGTTCGAAACGTATGTAATTTAATGGTTTTTGAGAGTTTTTCTTATGTTTCTATTAATAGTAAACTGATTCTTTGTTGAATTATAGGGTGCAGAGATGCATGTATAGGCCTTTTTTATTGATTGACGTGCATGGAGTAATAAGCGAACCTTCTTTAGCAAGTAAATCAGCCGTCTCGTTTTGTTCAATTCCTGAATGTGCTTGCACCTTTACCAGCGAAACTTAAACGTAATTGTTCGATAATGTGTTTGATGGCTTGCCAGGTCAAAAAATTATTAATTTCTGAAATCGACGTTTGTGTGATTATAAAGAATTGAAAGTATGAATATAGACGGTACTATTTCGTATCAAAATACGGCAAAAGATCAAAATATGGCAAAAGATTCGGCGCGAGTTGAACTAACCCAATGCTCAAGCGAACCATTGTGTGAAAGATTGATATCAGTCAGAGAAGATAATATCCGGCCGAATCCCATTTGGCTCATGTTCTGATCCAGATCTTTGGTAAGTGAACCATCTGAAAAGAAATGTAATTCTGTATAAGAGGATATTTTATTAACGTATTCATAAAATTGTTGATGACTAAGGAGGTTGGTAATAAGATTTATTAATTAATCAACGATTGTGTGAAGTGATCTGGTCTATAAGAGATTGGTCATTGACAGATTGTGTTGGTATAATCGGTTCTTGAATGTGTTTGTTGTTTTGCCATTGTAAGCTAATTCTCTATTCTTGATGTGTGGTGTACTTAATATACGAGATCTGTTGGTTCTATATCTTATGTTAGGTAAAGGTTTCATCTTGATGGAAAAGGATTTAGCTAACGGGACAGAAATTACACATTGAGGGCTGTATAATACGAATTATGAAGTTTGCAACCTGGGCACGGTATTAATTTTGTGTCTCTTGATTTGGGTGTCAGGTTGTGTTGAATCGGTGTATTATGGTCGTTTATATAATGTTCGATGTATCCCATAGCCCATAGGAGTATGATTTGGATAATTTGTTTTGGATAAAATTCTGCCATAAACAATGTCAAGTAATGATTTCGGACCAAAAAGCTAGCCAGGTATTAAAATTTCTACATGTGTAAGGATATTCAGATGTTGGTCATTTGACTCGTGGATTTTGTATAATAGGTGTGTCAATTGTGAAATTAAGTCGTAAGGATGACGATTGAGGATAATGTTATCTAGTAAAAAATTTGTACCAGTCAGGTTGTCTACCTTTTTTAGATCGTAAAGGTTGTTTAATTTCTTTTCATTTTAATAAAAAATGTCCATTAACAGGAATGATTTGGTCTAAAAACATGATGCCTCAGTTTTTCAATTGATATAAGAAAAATTTTTTTGGGTCAGTAAGAAAATTGCATAAATGATTTGACTACCTTTAGTATTAAAAGCAAAATTAAATGAAAAGATACGAATAATATTGAAAAATACACATTAAAGATTCTATTCTATTAAAATTTTTAACGGGGGAAGAAAAAAAGATAAGTTAATTGAATATCGGGGGACCATAATTTAAATTGTGACGATAAAATAAGGAATTTAATAATATTTGAGAATTGCATTACGCGTTAAATAATGAAGCCTGAGCTCGTATTTGGTAATCAAAAATGTTGATATTAGGGTAAATTTGATGATGTAACATTGAATTATAAAAATTTTTGGGTAAAGATAAGGATGAACGAAAAACAGAACGTAATATGACATAAATATTCTATTTGTGGGAAAGGACTTTGTTAATCACGTAAATTACTTAATACATTTTCTTTTTTAAACAATAAATAAATATGAGAGCATTCGTTTGATCTTATTAATCGTATATTGATGAGAATTGTCTACATTAATATATACTCCTATATCGATTAAATCTTGTCTGAAACGAAAGGATGTGTTGTATGTGTCAATAATTGTTTGTCGTTAGTTAAAAGTTTGGTGTTAGCTAGGTTGTAAAAATCGTCAGCTATTTCTAAATGGGCGGTTAAATTGTCTAAAGAATTTGAGAACCAGGTAGTATCGTCTAGGTAACCAAGAAGTTTAGTGTTGACAGTTAGTGTATGAGAGTCTAATGGGTCGTAGATGTTTTTTGGCATTGTTGCAGTCATTGTGTATCCTCCATAATTTGTATTATTAATACCTTCGAACATAGGGTCGTAGTATATTACCCATAATAATGGTGAGATTGTATGATTCCTATTTCCATATCGTAAGGAAGGTTCTGATAAAGAATCTTGTAGAATAATTTAATTTTTCTGATTAGAAAAAAGATTAATAAGAAAATTTGTGATGCTATTAGGATGCATATTCTAATATTCTATGTAGTGCACGTTTGAGAAGGGGTATATCCACTCTATCATACGCCTTACTTAAATCCTGTAGTAGGATATAAAGTGGTTGTTTATGGGATTTTTGATGTTCGATAATTGTTTGTATAGATAAAATAATTTCTCCAGTAGATGAACCTTGTACTTCTGCTTGGTTGTTATTGGTTGTTGCTCAGGTAAAAATTAAGTCTCGCATTTATATTTTAACAAGGAGCTTTCTGTAACAATCTAGTAAAATGATTGGACGAGTATGTTTAATGTCAAAATTCCACCAGGTCGGTTTCGGGATGGCTAATTTGAATTGTTTAGGTAGGTGGTTATTAGTAATAATGTGGTTGAATAAGTTAAGGACAATTGGTAAGAAATTTGATGGTAAATGTTTGATAATTTCATAGCTGATGTTGGATGGACCAGCGGCGCTTGTTTGTTGGTATATCTTTGATATTATTAATTAGTTCGTCCAGAGTAATACTTAGTCCTAATCGAGAACTTTCTCTTTCTGGTATATTAGTCTTTTGTTCGTAAATTGACGTCCATGGTTCATGTAACGGTTTCTGTTAATCGTATTTTGATTTCGATTCAGTATCTAAACCTGTATTTTTTAAATGGTTTATTGTTTTTCGATTTCATCTTTGTCAATAGTGAAAATGAGTTCTCCATTAACTTCTTCATATATGTCTAAAGTAATTTTTTTAGATTTTCTGTCCAGTAGTGAATTTAACAATTTCGTTTGATTAGTTTTCAAATTATCTTCTCTCGCCTGAATAGATTGTTTTATTTTATTAATTTTGAAACGTTCTTTTTCAGATTCTAATTTGACTTGCAACACAGTTTTCAAATACGATTATTCAAATTGATTGAAAAGGAATTAGTGATACGTCTAAGATGTTTAAGATTTTGTAGTTCCAAAAATTTTCTCTGTTATCGTACATTAGAGAATCTAGCATGTGGGTAACAATGTTCAGTTTGATTGTTGTTTCTATAAATGAGAAATTTTGCTCGTTTTATTGCTGAAATTATAGATTGTTGTATGTTTTCGAATTCTTTAGTTCCTGGTCTATGTTGGTATTACGTTCGTTATATTCAATAACTAGAAAATTGCAGAAATCTGTCCAATTTTTTTCATTGGTTTGTTTGTAATTGATTTTTAGATTATGTCTCAATTTGTTAATATTATTATTAACTTCAGAGTAAATTTTGTTTTTGGTATTAGTTTTTGTGTCGATATAATTTGATCGGAGGAATAGTTTGGTGTCGAAGTGTTTGCGAATAAAGTTAAATGTATAAATTTTGTGAAACATAAAGTATATCATGTTGTAAATTATATCATGTTGATATATGATAGGTGATTTTGGGTGTTGGACCATGTGAAAGATATTGAAGGATTGTATTTTCGGACTGTACTGTATCTATCATTTTGTGTTGTTTGAGTAAAGATAATGTGAATTTGTCGTATTTGGTATGCAATGGTTGATTGTTATTTGACATAGAAGGTTCGTTAGGTATTTGTGTGTGATAGGGTTATAATTAAAGTCTTCCATAACAATAAAATGATGATTGACTGAATTATTGTAAATATATAAGGCCATGACGTGAAGTTGAATTCTTTTAAAAAAAATGTGATTCGACCAGGGATAATAATGATTACCATTACCACTTTTGTCCATACTAGGGTTATTAACTTATTAATGATAAAAGAATTTTTGTTTTGTTAGTGAGTGTAGATAAGCTGATAAGGTGATTGAGTGTATTTATCGTGTTCATTATTTTTGTAGTCTATTAGATTGGTTTCACATGCATGAAAAAGGTGTCAATTGTTTCAACCATGAATTCTATAATTTCGGACATTTTTGATGTAAGAGAACCTCAGAGTTATGTGTAGAAAAATTAATAAACGGGAATTCATGTAAAGGGGAGGAGAAATCTATCAAATCTTGTACACAGTGAAATTCGATATAATGGAACCATCCGTTCCATTAGTAAAATTTATCAAAAATCCGTTATATCGAGGGTAAATTAATTATAGATTATGATAATCCGTTCCAGACATATATCAAGACTTTACTTATGTTCCGTTCTATCAAGGTTCCGGTAGTTGTACTGTCATTATGAAAATTGTAAGTAAAATTTCGACGTGTATATTAAATCTTGATTGGATTGTTAATCAAAAGGGAGTATCAAATAGTGTCAGGAAAAATTTCTTTTTGACCAAAAGAAATAGATGAATCATTGGTTGTTATTGCCCCAAAAGGTTCCTGAAAAACCTCTTTGTTGTCTGTTACCGTTTGAGGGTGTATATAAGTCTTCGTTCATATTGTCATCGTTGTCAGAATTGTAGTTAAACGGGCGCGAAGGTGTATTGCCATGTATGATAAATCTGTTGAGTTGGGATTGGTGTATTTCTATCTGTCAGTTATGATTATAGAACTTTCATATATTTCTGTATTGACGTTCTGTTTATCTATATTAGTATCGTTGACGTTAGATTAGTTAATATATTCTTGATTCGGAGTCGCGTGAATTGAGATGACAAGTGTCGTTAGATGAAGTTGAACCAATTTCGTCTTGAATACTAAAGATTTGATGTTGGTTTTGATGATGATTATAGTGATTGTAGTCTATTTTGTTTATTAATTTCTTTAATGACTGAATAGATAGTGTTTTGATTATTATTCATTTCAGGTATGATAGCAATACTTTCATCAATATCAGATATCGTGAATTTTCTTCTCGATAGTAATTTTCTGGAAGCTTTCTTGAACTATTTTCATTCCTTCTTTAAGTTTATTAATTTCTTCCTGTTGCTTCTGAGTTGTGGTTCTGAGATTTTTGATTTCATTTTTTAATTGTCCGTTATCCTGCGTTTGAGCATTATATGAAGTTAGGGTTGAATGAGTATGTGATTATCGAATCTGGTTAGATTATTTTCATATTTGTATCTAGGATTCGTTCTATATTGTGATTAATATTGTTGTTAACTGGTGGTTTGTTGTAATAAGTTGCACGTCCAAAAGGAAATACGTTGTCGTGAGCGTTATTTGTTCGTTTGAGTGATGGTGTTGAATTTTCATTTCTATTGTAAATTTTTTAAATGCATTTGTAATGGACAACCTCTGCTTTCATGTTAGGATTCCTACACGTTTGACATAGCAATGTGTTGTTTTTATTTTATTTCTAAAAGGTTGGTTACCACGGTCATTTACAATAATAGTAATTGTACAATAAAGGCATAAATAAACTATCTAATTTAAAATGATCCCTCCCATTCGAGACTCGCCCTTCGTCCTTCGATAAGAAACACTAGAAAAAATAGAGGCTACGCTATTAGTCTAAATAAAAAAGACAACTTAGCTAGTAGAGAGGCGAACAAATAACCAAAAAGGACAAACTAAACTAGAAGTCCGTATCATCAAATGGTACTATACGTAAATACTGTCAGGTATAGAATAATCATTCTTATAGAGGTCCATAAAATAAAAGGGATACTAAAAGAAAAAAAAATTGGCTAATCATGTACCGGAGTAGGCGGATAAATGACGGTAACCACCGATTCGGCGCAGAAATGTAGGAATTATCTGACATTGTCGATATCGGGAGGAGGCGTTCGACGTAAATATACGTTCGGATCGTTGATATATCTTGGTCCTGTTTGGAAACATAATATTTGTTTTGAGCGTTAGCTTTCAATGAGACGTCTTCCACTATCATAATGGAACAATTTTGGAGGTAGTGTTTTCTATTATTCAGCGCTCGAGTATATCCATAGTTATAACGAGGTATATTACTGACGTCGAAACGACGTCTGACTTTGAGTCGAAGAGTAAGTATCACGGTAGTAGCGTGGGTCGCCCGAAATACCAGGTGGTAAAGGGGGAAGCTTTTTCTTCTTTTTATTGCGCTTCTTGACTCTCCGTAACCAGTTTTTCTGGCGTCGTTTGAATTTTGAGCGTTCATTGTTTGTGATGAGTCAATACTCTACGGGCTAGGTAATTTGTTATATACTTTGACGGCGTAAGATAGTGCAGGTTTTTGCGTTTTGATCTCTTGAGAAGAGGTTCTAAGTCCATAACTGAAGTATTAGGCCTGTGAGATGATACGTATACTTATTTCTTTCCACGAATTGATCGAATTTTTTATCTGCAGGGAGGATGCGTAGGAAAAAATTTCTATTTTAATGCTCCGTATATCTTTTTCAAAAAATTGTTAAGCTTCTTTATAAGACATGAACTCAACGTAGAATATATTAAGTCTTGGTGTAACATTTTGACCCGTTTGTTTGTCAAAATAAGGTTGTTTCTATTAATATAATCCTTTTAACTTGTCCGTATTGTGAAAAAAGTTGTTTTATTTCGTTGTCTAAGATGTGTTTTGAATATGGATCGTAAGTTAATTTTGTTTAAATATATGGTTACTTGTTCTTCTATGGTTTTTTCATCATAGTTGTAAAATTGTGCATTGAGTTTTTTTGTCATATGCCGATATGATTGCGTCTCTTTGTTCTTTATTCATAAAACCGATTTTAAGTAATTACCTACGCGCATGGAGAAACTGCCTGAAACTTTAGTATTGATGGATGCACGATACAAAGTGCAGGAGAACTCTACTTAAGTTGTAATATTTTTTATAATAACGCAAGGTATTATTTCATTTTTTTTATTATAAACGAACCATGTGATCACGTTAATTGGCACCATCTGTTAATTTCTTTAGAAACATAAAAGCGGCAACCAAATAGAAAGGGTAAGTGCATCCACCGCGATGTCGGACAAAATCCCGAAATCCATTTTCCCGACAGGACGTTTGCCCGACACTGTTGGGTTAGAATGATTATAATGATTCCTAGACACGTTACTTTAAGTTATACCCGGATTCCTGTAGTTTAAAGCGACAGATTAAGAGATAATCAGATAATCAATAAAAAAACTTTTAATGTTTGGACAAATTTGTGCTAAAAAATGTGTTACGTATAGATGATACTACGTACTTATATCGGGATAAACCGATAAACTGACACAAAAAAATGGACGTATCGCCTAACATTTATGATTTATGATCCGCAACATACTACAGTCAAAGCTCGTTATAGTGAACTTTCCGTTCCACTATGTAATTTTTTCCCTTTTTTTCACTATAACGAGATTTATTAAGAAAATTCACTATATCGAGAGAAATTAATTATAAGGAAAAAAATCAATAGGTCACTATAACGCGATTTTACTTAATGTTCACTATAACGAGATTCACTATAACGAGCTTTGACTGTATATTCTACATCACGTCTAATGAAAAAATAATTATAAGGCATTTTTGTGGCGGTGGTGTTTAGAGAACTGCAAATTCTTTCTTAGAACGCAGTCAGGAATAAAAACCTTTTCTCCTCTTCGTTAGCAGTAATTACCAACTACCAAGAGGCTACCCCATGATAGATATTTTTAATCTTAAAAATGATTAACAATTGAATTAGAAAGATTAATTATAATAATTTTGCTATTCCTCCGCCCGTAAAATTTTCCTGATCATCAAGAATTTTTTGCATCCGTTCATCAGGAAGTTTTGGGCGGGCGTATAATGTGTTGAACGACGCCATGTGTTGCTCAACGCCAAAAAGTGTTGAGCAACAAACCCTTTGTAAACTGACGCCATTTAAAAACGTGTAAAACAACACAAATTTAAGCGTAGAGCAACACATACAGTAAAACAACGGTAGCCATCAACAGTAAAAAAATCGTTAATTTAACACATAAATAGTTGAACAAATGCGCATAATTAGTTGAAAACCACATTTATTTACTAACTAAATTAAGCAATACTAAAATTATTTAATTGGAATAAATCATTAACGTTGAAATTAAAGATTATTCGTCTTCGTCCAAAGGTAAAGTGGTGTCGGCGAATATTCTGCGGATTCGTCAGCATTGTCACCATTCGAATCCTGAATATAAAGATATTTTAAACATTAGTAATTAACTTTAAAATTATCATATAAATTTATTCAGTATTCACCATTTCCGTGCCAGTCCACGTATCCACAACGTCTGTATCGATTTTCGCGGAAAGATGATTGATATCAAATATAGTTTCAAGAACTGATTGAACCCACACTCCGTTTGAAGCTGTACGTTCTTTTTCGGACGTAAAAACGGATTTAATAATGAGTGTTAAATATGTATCTGCATCTTCATTCTCGGCATCACTTGATTTGTAAAGATCCTCATAAACTTTTTGCGTATTTGGATGCTGTTTTCATTCTTTCATCTGGTGTTTCGTAAAGTTATCTCTAAATGGTTTGATTCGGTTTATACCGAATATGGACCATAGACCATTCTTAACACGTCTAACATAGTAACCTCTTTTTGAACGGATTGCGCCAAGCAGCTAATTGGTTTACTAGATTAGTACATCTTTGTTAACTAATACAATCATATGATACAAATTGAAACATTACTCACAGCAGTCTTAATTTTTTTATCCCACAACTTGTCAAATGTCAAACCCTTTACTTCAGATTTCTGGAGAATACTAACACATTGTTCATCGGCGTCCAATTTTTCTTTAATACGTGTTTTCATTTGTTCTTCGGTCACTTGCTTATGCTCATGAAATATTTCATAAGCAAGCTTTCTGACCACGTCCTGTAAAACAAGTAATTAATTACAAGCGAATATAAATAATGTAGAAATAATAATAACCAATTTATATTTACTTGATAAAAGTCACTATCTTTTTTTGGTTTATCCCGACCTTTGATTTTCCCGGGTTCACGATCCTTTAGCAACGTTAAAATGTCTGATATTAGAGTATTCTGCTCATTTATTTTCTTGTCAAATTTATCCTCAAATTTTTCTTGTTTATCCATAATATTCTTGATTCTCGACGAATTGCTCTGAGCAATTTTGATTAATTTTAATAATTCTTGTGTATAATTAGCTAATAAAGTAGAATAACATACTGTATTAATAAATACGAGATAAATACTGAACTACTGGTGTAAATTAAGTCTTACATTCAACGGGATCCTTGGGTACCGTTGTTGACGTTGATGCCATTGTCGACGTTGACTCCGTTGTCGATGTTGACGCTGACACCTAATGAAAATACACGATGAATACATTAAAATAATAAAAATAAATGATAACAATAAAAATATAACTTGCCGTTGATTGAATCGTTGGTTGAGTTGTTGTTTTATTGCTATATACATTAATGATACTACTCGGATTTTTACTAAGTGTTTGCAAATAGGTATCATCATTGGTGAACTTTTGGATCTTAGTTTTCTTATTAGATTTATCAAATAATCCATCGTCAGTATCAGTTGAACGGTCTTGTTTTTTTTGAGTCTAAAGGAGTATATAACGAGAGTTAACAGACATGAAAATAAATATGATTTACAAACAATATATAATTACTTTTTCACCCTTGGTCGATTTTGGTTTTGGACGTCTCAGGTTATTATAGTTAACCGGATCACTCATTTTCAAAGCAATTTGGGAGGAAAAAATAAAAGATTTTGATGTTTCTTGACTCTTTTATTATTTTTTTACGCCATAATATGAAGTTTAATCAATTCGTTAATTTATTTTAAGAGTGATTGATTAAATTAACCAGTTGATCAATTTGATTTGAAAATATCTTTGATCAATTGGGCTTTCTCCTGATATTGTTAAAAAGTGTTAACTGTTAAAGTGTAAAGTAATTAAAAAACTTATATAAACTTACATCATTAGTATATGGAGAAATCACCGCTTTATATAAAGTTATAAACCTACCCAAGCAACTCATATCATACATTTTATACATTTTATTCTATTTTAAAATTAACGTTGAAAAATGACAAGCTATACGTGTTCAACTTGTGGAAGAAATTTTAGTCGTCGTTCATCACTACGAAATCATGTAAAGACTCATGATGATGAAGTTGATAGAATTTTACGAGAAATTTTTGAAGAATTTGAATGAAGGGATGGCCCATGACCGACTGGTAGAGCTGAACGATGATGAACTTTCTTTATCTGATTACTTTCATAAATTAATAGCCATTCTAAATCTGGAAAATTTTCTTCAAGAAAGGTCTTATAGAATGATGTTTGGGTCTTATCTTACAATTAAATGGATTATGATTATCATTCAAAACAACAAAAGCATCTACCTTGTATTCCTTTTTGTTCGAAATATATGTTCATCGATTTGCTCTTTGATATTTCGTTTGTAACATATAATACTGCTCTCTTTGATGTATCTGTTATCGTATAATTAGACTGCCTTAGTGTAACATCGGTTGGCTTAATACTACATATCACGTAAACTCAATTAGCGTTAAGGCATCTACTTGTGTTATTCTTAGAAGTGGGATCATTGGATTGAGATGTTTCTAAGCCACTAGCTCCTGCATTTTTCAATGCGACTATTGATAAAACATAAATACCTGTAGATGAGCTAGTAGCTACCTTCCTTTTTATTAATTTCTTTCCGTTCAGGACTACCACCTTCATCAGAGTCTTTAACCAAAATTGTTAAAATACGATTTTCTTATTAAATGACACACATTCTTTGTAGAACTAGGGTCAAATCGATAATGAAATGTGTAAAATCAGTAGAAGGCTGTTCCTGCCAAAAATCACTATCGGTCCTCAAATATTCACATTTTCAGTGTATTTTAGAACAAGTTTTGGGCAATATCCAGTCTCTGATTGAAAATCCTCATTATCACTATTATAGATTTCCACCTTTCAAAGAATTATAGAGTAACAATCTTTATCTGAGAACTTAACATTTTTTCACAATATTTTGCTGATGAAGACATCTATCACAAATTCCTTAGAGTTTTCTTCGATTTTTCGATAAAGACGACAAGTACGCTTAATTTCCTTCATGAATGTTGTAAAGATTGTCCATAATTAACTAGGTATTTATAATTCAATATTCATCGATCAACTGGAAAATATTTTCTCAAACATGTTGATGCGTTTAGAGATGAATGATTGTTTTCGTACTATGTGAAATCAGAAATGGAATACTTTCTTGCACATGGGTCTCTTTTACAAAGGTGCAAGTCGTTAACACGTACAGTCAGTCCTCTATGTACCGATACTGTTGTTTTGGGAAAATATATCGGTATATCAAATTATCCTTGTCATTAGTGAATCATAATACGGGCCAAAATCCAATTCTTGCCAGCATTATGCAAACTAATATATTAAAAAGTCATGTGATTTAAATGGAACCTTTATGTTAACTCTGGCCAAATTTAGTGTTGGCCCGAATTAATACCAGTGTAACCTTACATCTTACTATGTATTACTGTAATTATAGAAAAGTATCGGTACATGTTACATCGTGAAACTATATAAAATATCAGTACAATGAGGGGACAGAAAATTTATCGGTACAGGCAATTTATCGGTACATAGGATATCGGTACATAGAGGTCTGACTGTAATTGTCAAATTCGCAACGTTTCCAGTCCCTTGGAACAACTAGTTGGAATCTAAGGACAGTCATTAATTGAAGCAATACCCTCTCATTGTTTAATATTTATTACTAATAGTCCATTCACAATAGAGATAATTTTCTTTACAGGTATAATTTCTCAGATAATCTCTGGGAGATCAATTTAAACAATCAACAATTTTTTTATTTACATTGCGCTATATTTATCAAAATTTTTACTACGCATTGTTTTATTCACATAATCAAAGAAGTGTATATTGATATTGATATTTTTAAACTGATTTAAAATAATCAATTAATGAGTTTAGACCAGTTTAAATAATCCGTTATGAAAATTCATATGATCATTAAATGTTTCAAACAGCTCAACTTATTGGTTGACTAAAATACCTATATTAGTGTACCATATACCCATAAATTTGGTGTATTCCCCTCTTAAAGCAAAGTATATAGTACCCCTAAGGTGATATATATATCATAAAGTAAGTTAAACAGAATAACAGAATAATTGTACTAAGATTTCCGTTGTTTAAAGATATATCATGTTTAAAGGAGTTACATCACTGGCTTTGAAATTTTGAATATTATTTAGGAATATAAAAAGATCAAAGATTTCTTGGCATTGGCGTTTCAATGATTTTAAATTTTAATTAAAGTATAATTAATGATGTGATTTATATAAACGATTTTTTTAATGCAAAAGAACTACTATATTGATAAAATACCAAACTTGTAACTAAAGAAATTCAATCAAGTTAATATATATATAAAGCCAAGACGTTTAATATCAAAATTTCGTTCCTGAACCATTTTTTAGAGTACAAGCATCACATTGACAAAATTTCGAAATTTCGAAATTTCGATTTTCATAATTTTGTCCCAACGGCATTTATAGTATGTTGATCATCATGTGATATCATATTAAATGCTCTTTTCGAACATTTGATTGATAAACCAATAAAATTTAATGCTATTTATTACTGGTTGTTTATAATCCAAACAGCTAGATTCAGTCAGCGGGCGTTACTTTTCTCTGTTTTTTAGCTGCATGAGGAGAGCTAGTATTTCTTATTGAAATTTCATTTCGTAATATGTTCGTTTAATGTGGCGCAAAACACTGTAAATCCGATGAAGAATTTATTAATAAAAACGATTTTTTTTTTTTTTTTAAAAAAAAAAAAAAAAAAAAAAAAAAAAAAAAAAAAAAAAAAAAAGACGTTCGGCCGGATTACTTTAATGGATATGGGATAATCGTCAAAAAAAATATTCGGCCGAAATTGGTTTCTTTTTTTGTAAAAGTATCATTTTTTATTTAAGGGCCATGACATTTGTTACGTAATATTTTAGGGTATTTGAATGTCTTACAATATATCAGTGTAACATAAGATTATATATATTTATATATGTGGGGGTATCTGGTATAGCAATATACTTATAATAATAAATGGATATTACGTAATAAATGTCAATATATCTGCATTTCTTATAGGGTAACAAAATTGTAATTGTAATATCATATCGTTACGTAATTATATATTATATATTTTTTTTGTGTAATTTAAATAATGAAATAATGAAATCTTATTTGTAGGTCTATAAGATACTAAATTTAAAATAAAAACAAAGTAATAAGAATCACATTAATGTTTTAGTGCTGCGGATAAAGAATTCTGTGCATACAATAAACCCATCGTTGATCATATTCGTCATATTCGTACAACCAATTATTGTAATAGAGATATTTGAATTTAAGCGCGTATTTTAATACTTGCGTATTCCTTAAATTTTATATAAACTTTTTTAGAACTCTATTCCTTTCAGTTATTTCCTTATTTTGACTTTTTTTTTTCAATCATTTCCAACTGGCTGAATAAAAGAAATATTTGATATATTAAATAAATGGAAACAATTATTTTTTGTACAAACAAACTAAAGCCGATGGAAGGATAAATTTTATATTCACCAAATTAGGATACATATGAACTAATTATACTAATTATAAATTTAATTATCTAATAATATATATTACTTCTATAAATACAGCGGTATATTAATTTAAACTTTTCCGTAAAGTCAAATCATGATTCGTTATTGTATAACTTTTATTCATTGAAATTAATATGGCTTTTATTTTATCTTATAATTATCAAATTTTATATTTGGTTTAATCTTTCGGATATCGCTCTTATAGTCTTACAAATATGTAATAATTATTTCCTTTTTGTTATAATTATCAAATTTTTATATTCTTTCACGATTCTTTCACGTATCATTCTTACATACTTTTATTTAAATAGTGTGTATTATCAATCATGAGTACATAATGAAAGAAATATCAATGTATTTAGGAAGTATTCCTCGGACTTCGGTTATTTATTGTACGCATGAAAATACATACGTAAGTATTATAAATTCAAAGTATGTGTTGAATCGTTATTTGGCGCAATTCAATACGTGAATATGTTCTCTAAAAGTATAAAAACGATTAGATTTATTTTCACCTCGCCAAAAAGTTCCAAAAAAAAAATAAAAAATAAAAAAAAATAATAATATATATATATATATAACGATTATAATTCCTTTAAAATTAAAATAAAATTATGAAATCAATTCGATTTGTCCCATACACTATTGAAAAAAGCAAGAGAAAAGCCGGTGTATTTATATTTTACAGAAACGAGATGTTGAAAGAATACGGACCTATTAGAATTCAGATGACGGCTTTTAGTAAGATGATGTCAGAGAAGTGGAACGCTTTATCAGAAAACGAAAAGGAACTATGGCGCCAAAAGCATGCTTTAAGTCAATATCCAGCAGAACAAATCCCCATCGAAAACGAATATGAAGAACCCGCTCCCATCATTATAATTCAAAATCCATGTCAAATATGTGGATACCTTACTACTACATTTCAATGGATTTGTAATTTATGTTTTTTAAATTATTTAAATAATTTATCAGCGGAGTATTATCAATATTACAATTTATAGATAGTTTACTTTTCATTTTTTTTTATACTTATAAGATGAAATTTTTTTTTTATTAGATATCAATTTTTTTTTCTCTTCGCGTAAATTTGTATTAATAAGATAAATATAGTTTAGTTACAACTTACAAATCGATTAATAAAATTTTTATTTATTACTTACTTAACGATACATAGATTTTTAGAATGTTCATCGTGATATAACGATAATTTTGTTAATAATTAATGTGGCTGAAAGTGTCATGTGATAAAATAACCGGAAATAATCAATTGTGACATTGAATTGTTTTTTCTAACTCAAATAATCTTAATTATATTTCATCATTACGTATTGGCTTCCATAATTAGTTAAAAGTTCTTCAATAGGAGTTACTTGATGAGATGATAATCCTTATCTATACTTAATCCATATATAACCAAGCAAGGAGCTAATGATTGAAAAGTTTCTGTAATACAAATATTGAAAGTTACATTGTAATACAAACGAATAAACATTGCACAATTATAAAGCATTAATTATAAACGAGATAAAACTTCGAACCTAATTTTTTATGACATGACATGTATTACTTTTCAGTAACATTATTTTCCAAAACTTTATATAAAATAAAGTGAATATTTTACATTATTTACGTTATAATCTTTAAATATAAAATTATTATATATATATTTTTGTTCCTTAAAGAAATTTTTCTGGATTTTTTTTTTAAAAAATAATCTTAAGTTCTAACTTTGCATGATATAAGACCCAAAATAGTTTAGAAAAAGCTTTAGCCACTGCTGATATATACCATTTTAAGTTAGTATTAAAATTATAATATACCTGATTTGCTGATTTTTGAGATCATTTCTTAATTCGGACATAATGGAAAGTAATATGTAACATTGATAGGTAATACAAAATTTTTTCTTTTGTTTAAAAATTTTTACCTTTTATAGAAAAGATTATCTATTATCAATCAGTTTTTATATATATTTTATCATTTTCGTTTGTAACATATTAAACATTTTTAAATTTTTTTTATAAATTATTATTTGAAATAATAAAATTTTATAACCTTTATTATTAAATAAGTTATAGGATTAGTCTTGAACTGGCGGAATTTCAATTATTTGAAAGGAAAAAAGTTCTTTATTATAGAAATAGGTTTCTGAATAATGAAATGGTTTTAAACTTTGTTTAGAAAAAACGAAATTGGATGTGAAATTTTGTCTTCAGTTATTACTCATTAGGCTGCCTGAATATTAAGTAGCTACCCCATTTTTTGCTGACGTTGAGCAGTGCGCCAGTGCCATGTGGTGTGGTTACATCCTGTTTTCTATTTCAGCGCATGGACAGTTGAGATAAATAAAATATTGATGTTCAATGCATGGACAATTGAGGTAAATAAAAAAAAATATTGAAGTTGATGTTCATGACGACATAATAATTTTATTCCTTATTTGATCTTAGTGAAGCTGAAGAGGTAACATGAGTTGCGATGTTATAGTGTTATATCATTAGGACACGTAATTTTAGACGAGTCGACTGACGGACCCTCCGTAAGTTTAACCGTATATTTTATACGTTTATAAACCGTTAGGATTGGGTAATATGGACGCCTGTTTATGTTAGTGAGTGAATATAAAATTTAATTTAAAATATTTTATATATCAAATTAATTTTTTTTAAGGATCTTTTAATAATATATATCTCACCTTAAGATACTGAACCATGGACCTTAAGTAATACTTTTTCGCGGTTATAACCACTACGATATTCAAGTTTTGATTCAAAACGTATGTTTTTTTGACTTATAAGTTGAGTGGATTGAATGTGTATTAAAAAAAAAATCAAATATCAATTATATCATTGAACGCTCGTGGAAGTTCCTTAAAATTCCGTTATACGAATTGTTACAAACGGTTTCCAATGGACGTACATGTAAATTAACCGTTAATGGACAAATCTAATTGGACATTTACGTCAATTTTAAGTAAATTTTGGAATTTTGACCAGGGATGATCTCTTGGAAATTTGGTGATGCAGGACATTGCAGGTTGATTACACTTTACTAATTCCATCGGTAGAATTAGTCAATTAGTATTAATCTTTATTTATAAATATAGAGGAGAGATTTTAGTTTAGTTAAAAAAAAAAGAAAGAAAATTTATTATGTATTGGCTTTAACCGTTTTTAGAATTATCTTTAGACAATTTATTTTTTATCAACAATCTAACCATCATATCAATTTTCATACCAAAAATTCTAATCATGAAAGATCGTATATATATTAATAAATTTTTATATGATTTAATGCACCTCAATGCAATCATATTCATTACTAAAATACAGTATGAAAAATTTTCCATAGTTGTAACACATATTTTATAGTAAAAATTAAATTCGGATAACTAATTCTTCACTTCATCAATAAGAATCACATTTAAAGGTCTTTCGGATGAATTCTTTATTCAATAAAATTACTCGTAGTTATAATAACTGAACGAAATTTGTCGTGTTTATATTAATGTCTTCACTATATTTTCGTTCGTCCACCCTATAAAAAATTTTTATCCGAATATTTCCATTATTTCTCCGTATCTTCCGTAAAAATTCCGTGAAAATGATACATTCACGGATATCCGTGTTAACGAGATGAAAATTTCCATGATTTGAGGTTATTAATTCCATGAAAATGATACATTCACGGAAAAAGCATGGAAAGATAAAACACGGAACAGATTTTTTACAGGGCCAAACTGTCTACGGCTCATACTACTAAGAATAGAATAAAATGACCATCACTCCATCAGTTTATACGAGGCATAAAGTGTCAGGAATAAATTAACCTTACTGTCGATGATCTTTGCAACATAGGATAAAGGAAGAGGTGCACATTCGTCTGTTGGTTCTAGAAATTCGTTAAGGGATAATTTAATGATTTTAAAAAATATATTCCTTTCTTCGATCATTTTTACTGATGGAACCCATTAATTCTACAGATTAAGACATTTGTAAATTCACGATGCCTAATTAATTCCTCGGAAATTTTATACAAAAAAGATAGTCGATATTTGCAGTTGTTTCAAATTGTCACAAACCAAGTAATCAGTTTAGGCTCGTTATGGTCGTATCAAGTTTACTTTCGAAATGAAAGACCGGAATACACAACTTCGACTTCCTGAACCTAAAAAAAAAAAGATAATCAAAACGTTAGTAACGTTTCGCTAAAAATAAAAAAATAAATAAAAAAAAAACAAAAAAAAATAAAGAATAAAAAAAAAATCGAAGTTTACCTTCGAAATTGAGTTCTTCGGCTTCCTGGACCTACAAAAAAAAGATAAAACGAACGTTAGTTACTTTCGAAATCGAGTCCGCCAAAAAAAAAATAATAAAAAAAATAAAATAAAGAAGTTGGTTCTAATCCTGTTTCCTCTAAAGAACCTGATGAATAATCCAGAAGCATTTTTTCCACATCTCTTTGGCCGTTCTGCATCAGTTATTAAGATCGTCTGATTAGTTTGATTAAATTTATTAAATTGTCCGATAAAGATTATACATCCCATTAAGAATTAATAATAATATTTTTCACAAGAAAAAAGTTTATTCCCTTTCCTACGGAAAAAAATCGCCCAATTGAATTGTTCTGTAATCAACCGTTCTAAAGAAAAACAAATACGGTAATGATAAATTTTTAAATTAAGACTTACATAAAAATCGTCTAACTGAAAATTATTTTTTAAGGAAACATGTAGTTATACTAAACATCATTAGAATCGAGAGTTTGGCGAAAATTCGGGATAGAGATGGATTTAACATCAAGGAACTGGAATTCATCAAATTTTTATTGCGCATATTCCACGTTCTCAACGCTCCAAGTAATGTCAATAATATGACTTTAACATTAAATTTATGCAAAATCCGCGGTAATTAAAATCACCTAACATTAGGTCAAAATAATATATTATTAATAAGTGCAATTATGACTTCGATATATTAACTGAAGTGTTTCATTACTAACTGGACAATGTCCAACGGAAGCGTACATGAGTGAATTCCACATATATCCTAATTCGTTGTTTGCGTACGTTACTTCCTATGTGATTTTGAAAGAATATTTTTAAAATAAATTATAAAAATTCAACGAGTTACGACCTGACTATAAATTATAAAAGAGTTGGTAAAAAAGTTCTCAAAATGAACTTCATACCATGTTAAAAAGAGAAAAATTACATTAAATAGAAAAGAGAATTAATACTAGATTACCTGAAAAAAATAATCAATTATATAAATTATATAAAATTATGAAAAAAATTATATAGTAATATTTTTGAAAAATGTCAAAATATATAAAACACACCGTTTTGTTTCATCAAATCGCTGCGCCACAGAGATTGAAATTTGTGTCCAAAATCCAAAATTTAAGATTTTTTTTGATTTATAAAATTGGAAAATCGAATATTAGAATCTGAGAATTCATTGTATTTTGATTATTTGTTCCCATTTTTTTTTTTTTTTTTTTTTTTAAAAAAAAAAAATCGATCCCATCATAGTTAAAATGTTATGTTATATGCGTTCATGACGTTCTATCTTTGGTTATATTTATTGGGGATAAAATGTTCAACAATGATCAGATATTTTGATAACTTTTTTAAGCAAAATAAAAAGGAATAATTTACCTAAATTTGTTCACATTGATGATTTTTTTTTTCTTTGATGAGGCATCTGACCTGGTGACTTGAATTTTTTTTTTTAAAAAAAAAAAAAAATTTAAATTTTATCTGTGCAGTTAAAAACGCCATATGCATGAAAACTTCTGATATATAAATTTTATTTATTTTTTTTTTATAATAAAGAATAAAAAAAAAAAATATTATTAGTAATCTGAATAATTTTTATTATTTGGAATCTGCTAGAATCAAAAAAAAAAATTCTCATAACATCTTTATTTGTTTGTTACAAAAATTTATAAAATCATGAGAAAGATATTTTTATCATGTTTCACATATGCTTTTATATCATTATGATTTATAATTCATCGTTATAAAAGTATAAAAAAAACAATTTTTTTTATCCGAATTTTTATTCCTTTTACAGAATTTCATTACCTGAAAAAATTGTCATTTAAATATGCATTTGATGATCCTATTGTTCTTACATTTTCAATTAATCCTTTTTAGAAGTCCGGAACAAACTTATGGACGCTCTTTACCATCGCTTGTTAAAACGCGAAAAAGGAAATTTCATACACGTGACTTTTGGCCGGCATTATGCAAATATTTAGCAGATCACGTAGGTAAATTTTGTTGATAATGCTGGTGTACCACTCTGTATATTGCCAAGATCTACAAGAAAAAAATAAAGTTCAAATGATAAGCAAATGTGTGTCACAGAAATATATTATTACATTTTACTTTATTTTATTTTTTTAATTTTTATTTATTTTGTTTTTTTTTCTAAGATAATCAAAAAAATTTATGGCATATTCAAACCCACAGCTGCAGAACGCATTCAAAATCAATACTGCATACAATAAGTTATATAAGTTATATAATTTTGGAATAGTAAAAAATTCTACAAAGAGATAAAGTTAATTGATAATCAATTTAATTAATGAAATTTATAATCGGATAAGAGTTTTCTAAAAAGATTTCTTAGTATTGGCGTTTCAATGACTTTATTAAAGGTATAATTAATGATGTAATCTGCGATTAGTATTGATTAAACAGATTTTACTGATGAGAACATGAGATATCGCAGTTTTTTTTTTCATATATAAATGGTCGAAATTTTTTCTTCAAAAAAGTTAAAAACATATGATAATAAAATAAGCAATAATTAAGTTTATTAAATATGAGAAAAATTTTATAAGCATACAATCTCCATCTATGAATTTCCTCAACTTTTTACGTCCAATATTTCAAACTTTGAGATCCGGACGTCGTAGTCGTCGTATCAGAATAACAGAGGTTTAATTTCCTCAATCTTGCTCACGTGAATATAAAAAGTTTTTTTGTGAGTTTTATTAATATTTTGGTCTTTAAAGGTTATTAAAACCAATATACTGACTTGTTTGTAATTCTAAAGTTCTTCCTAGTAAACTCGGTGGAATAAAGAGCTTAAAGGACTTGACTATTGACTGTTTACTCTGAAATTTTATCAGTGTATTCTTCATGGTCGAATATAACTATCATAGACCATATATGTATACTATTATTGTATGCACCGTACAAAAAATGAGATCAGTTTCCGATATGCTCGTCATATCGAATGCCAATGCTATAGTGCCAATAGTGGTGCCGCAAGTATCGCAAATATGGAATATTTTTTTTTAAGAATTTTATTTATTTATGTATTTTCTTTTTTATGCCTTTTATGAATTTAAAAATAAACGTTTATTACGTTACTTGTTTTTTATGTTTTTTAACATTTATATAATAAATAAATAAATTATGAGGTTACGTAATAAATTTCTGTATAATGCAAAAATTTAGGTTCATATTTATTTTTTTCATTGTCGGACCGATTTCCGACATCCATTTTCCAGACGTAACCTTTTCCTGATGATAATGATTTTCCCGCAGATGATAAATATCCCGAAAGACAAAATTCCGAAATAACATTTTCCTGAAATCAAATTACGAAAAAAAAATACTTGATTTAACTGTGAAAAAAATGAAAATAAAAATAAAATTACTTGAAAATTTTTTTTTGATATATAAATAATTAATAAAAAAAAAAATTAAATTTTATGCTTTTTGCGTAATATTTTTCTTAAAATTTTTTTTTTTTATTAAATAAATGAAAGAATGATTTTATTGTTTTATTTTATCACGTAATTTATCTTATTGAGACTATCATTAAAATATCTTTAATGCTTTTTTATACATAGCATAATTAAAACACTCAAATTAAACAAATTAAACAGGCGAAAGGAATCATATTTACTATAAATTTAATAAAGTATTACAAGTAAAAACTTACAAATTGAAAAAAAATTAAAGAGAAATAGTATGCGCATAATCTAAAAGGAAATAATCATCACAACTATTGAAAATGCGATTTTCAGGTATTGTCACGAAGACTATAAAAAATTTTTCGGAAAAATGATCACGTGTCTGAGTTTCCTGGGAATAAAAAATTAGAAAAATGATCATTTATCGGAGTTTTTCCAGAATTTTTTTTATAAGGTAGAACGTTTTCGATTTGTAGTTTTGTTTGGCACTACTCCTTGCGCATTTCATCAATGATAGAATACAAAATGATCTCCCAATTACAGTACTCCACCGTTGGTGCCACCCTTCAACCCTAATAAAAATTTTTTTTGGAAAAATGATCACGTCTGAGTTTCTTCGGAATAAAAACTAGAAAAATGATCATTTATCGGAGTTTTTCCAGAATTTTTTTATAGGGACTGAATGTTTTCGATTTGCAGTTCTGTTTGGCAATGCTTCCTTGCGCATTTCATCAATGATAGAATACAGTCCCCCAATTACAGTACTCCACCGTTGGTGCCACCCTTCAACCCTAATAAAAAATTTTTTGGAAAAAATGATCACATGTCTGAGTTTCTTCGGAATAAAAACTAGAAAAATGATCATTTATCAGAGTTTTTCCAGAATTTTTTTATAGGGAGAATGTTTTCAATTTGTAGTTCTGTTTGTCTGTTTGGTAATGCTTCCTTATGCATTTCGTCAATGATAGAATACAGTCTCTCAATTACAGTACTCCACCGTTGGTGCCACCCTTCGACCATGATATTATTTTGAGTTCTGGGATATTCATTTTCAATAAGTTCATATACTGACCAGAGTTCTGGTGGAAATTGTGTGGATTCCGAATAACAGTTCCACTTCTAGGCATCTGGCGCCTAATTTTACCATGAACGTACTAGTTTTCCTCAAAGTATTGGACAAGTTGAGTTGCATTTGAAGCCATTAGAGGTTTAATTTGATCAAATGCATGTGAAAATCTCAGAGGCATATTTATATTTCTAACACGTGATATTTGTCTGCGCAATGCTTCACGGTTTGGCATATAGGAATAAGATTCTTGAAGCATGTTAATTACAGCATTTTGTATTATTTGAGACCTTTACCATATTAACTTTTCTAGTTACATCTACTCTATTTGCTTCTAGCGCATGATTACGTTCACTGGATTTTGCCAATATATCCAGAATTGTTACAGCTCTTCCGTTACATTTTAGTTTTTTTCTATATTTACAACACCAATAATGTTTCTCGTTGCGATTTCTGTCTTTTACTAATACAATAATCTTTGGATTACTTTGCGTAGAATTAACTAAGTCACAAACTACACGGTTCATTTTGGTTTTAAATAAAAAATAGACAAATGTAGTCCTCCAAAAAATTTGTGAAATCAAAAAGAGGATTAAAAAAAGATCAAATAACAAAAACCAATTAAAATTTTTCGTTATACTCCTTTTTTTTTAAACAATTCTTAAGTTGAAAGATTGTCATTATTGCCGTTCCTGAAATCTAAGCCCTATGCTGATCATGAATTATTCTTGATCGATGTTACTAATAAAGAAATTCTTTATGGAATTTTACGGCTAAAAGTTCCATGAAATTTTATTACAAATTATTTTAAGGTTTAGGAATATCATCAAATTTATTTATCAATTTGAAATATTGTAAATGAAATTAATAACATTAACGAGATTTTAATTTATATTTAAAAAGTATTAAATATTAATAATAAATGGTCAACAATTACTACTTTCTAAATAGAAGATTATTTTTGCCGAGTTTATTTTGTATATCTATTAGTTGTAAAGAATTTGTATAGTTATATAAAACAATTTAAAATTTGCGATTTATAGTATTATTGTTAAATACTATATACCCAACCAAAGTTACATTTTTTCGTTTTGAGAGTTTAATTACTTTGTAATATATAGAGAGGTATTATTTGAGAACACTATGACGGTTGTGTGGTGATAACTGTTACGGTAAAAGAAATCTGGAAATGGGAAAAGGTTACGTCGAGAAAAATGGATGTCGAGAAATCGTGATTTTATTGATAAAAAAATATTAGTCTTCTACAATTAAATATTGTAAAAACAAATCGGTACAATTCGTAGCCGATAAAAATTTTTTTTTTTATTAATTTTTTTTATTAAGTTACAATTTCATTAAAAGTAATATACAATACAAAACCATATACAAAAAATTACAAATAAAAAAAGAAAAACCGACGCCCTGCACTACCGTAAGTGATCAATTACTCATATGGTTATGATACCCGATTTCACGGTCACAATTTATTTGCTGATCTTTTAATTATTTTTAAATACCTAAGCGCAAGTGCGCAACTGGCTAAAATGATTTTCCGTTTGCCGAACAGTTCTCTTGGTAGAAACAATTTCGTATTTTAAAATTAACAAAATTAACTTTTTAAGGAATTATTCTGAAGAATGATCAATTATTATTGAATATTCTGGAAATATTCTTGAAGTTGAAGCCGGCTCTAGTGCTAAAATCATTTAATATACTAAGATACCCTAACGTAATGTTTCACATTTAATATTCTGATAAAAAAATGATGCTTTATTAATTATTTTAATTCTTTTCTTGGTGTTGTAATTATTGATAAATCATTATATATTAGGTTGGTGCACAACTCTGGTTTTTTGATGGTAACTTTATTGTCAATAGAAAATCTGGTCCCGTGATCGACGTTTACGAGGGTAAAGCAATAATTTAATTAATCAAATTCGATTTCTAAAATTTTCTAATTCTAAATCCCATTTTTCTTTTTTTAAATTAAGAAAAAAACCAAAATGGTAGTAAATATCATTCATCAGTTTTATAACTCGCCTTATCCAATATTTTAATTCCTGTTCATTTACATTTGGAACGACTAAATAAAAAAAAATTAGAATACTTAATCCCTTGAGTAAAAGCCTTGTTATTTTTTGCGTATTTTCGACATTAGATAATCTAAATGTTATGTTAGTTGAGGTCATTTTATAAATTAACTTATCTAGCCATATAGAAAACTTTAGGTGCACTAATTATTTTTTGAAGTTTACGTTCGAAATTCCTTTAAAGTCTTCAAGTTTTTGATAATACAAAACTTTTATAATTTACGATTCTTTTTCATAATTTTTAATCCAATTTCGAATAATTAAATAACTTTAATTTATAAAATTTTTCTTGCGAATTTAATATATTCCAGTTATCACAGCACCATGTCCATCTACTGTATATTTTAATGAGACTCCCGAAGATCGTCTCGCTCGACAATCACCTTACCGACAGGATCATTTCATCACAGGGTTATAAATGCTATATAAATAACATTTTCTAATAAAAAGATTATTAATTTTTTATTACTCGATATTATTTCATGATAAACACTAAATACAATTATTTAATTAATTTAATTATAACGTATAATTTCATATTACATATGGTGTGGATAAAGAATGATCTTTAAATTACAGTAAAGAAATAAAATTCAGGTGAAATGATTTTCGGCGAACTCTCGTCGGTAAGTTGACTATTGGTGAAATAATAGGACCCCGAGCAATATACTTACAGCTCTCCGCAAGGTTTAAATAAGCAAATTCAACATGTGATCTTTATAAAAATTTTTTAGTACGAAAAATCACAATAATAATAATATACGTTGATAATTTTCATTTTATCAATTACTTCGCGATATACATTTTAATATTTCATCATTTTTTCAATAATGTCATCCCAATCAAAATATTCATCTTCCCTATTAGCTTTATATATTACCGTCAATTAAAACTTTTGTTTCTGAAATATAATAAATGTTACGATTTATATAGTTGACGATGATCTCATTAAGAATTTTCATAATTAAATATTGCCCAATTTATCCAAAAAATAATCGTAACATATGACTTATTGAAAATCCCGTCAAAATTAAGCAAATAAAAAATATGACATTAGCAGCACTGCGTATACTCCCTGCAATATTTATTGTCCACATAATATCCCAGGGTACTAGTATCAACCTAACCTTTCTTAAGCAAGATATCTTTTCTCTAACTTAAGACAATCGTATTCTATGAATGAGTAGCAGCAGATCATTTTTGTGACAGTATAACAAACATTCTAATTGTTATATACTTAATTCAACATAAGTTACGTAATATGATTATTATAAAATTTTAAATAATATAATTACTCAAATGCTTAAAACTAGGAAATCATGAGCAAAATTCAATGACTAAATGACGAAATAATGTACGCTTTATTAACGGGATACAATTTAGTGTACGATCATGAGCTCGCGCGCGTCAGATGCTGATCGACATAATGAGTTCCCATTATAGACTTCTTTTTTTTTTAGTTTCGGAAAAACCTAAATTAGTTTAGTTTGCTAAGCCTATTACTTATTAAAGCTAGCCTATTTCTTATGTTAGATATTTACAATGAAATGGATGTAACACAGTACTAGTAAACGGCGTAAACATAAAAATGCAGAATAAAAAAAATTTTAAACGCCCTATTTTTTTTCTTTTATAAAATATCAATAATGCCTTGTCAACTTCCTGCTGATTGTCTTAACGAAATTTTTGAATACTTAGAGAAAGATAAGGTTACTTTACATTCATGCTTATTAGTTAATCGTCTTTGGTGTGAGGTTTCTGTTAGAATCTTATGGAGAAATATTTGGATTGTTAATCCTGTTGACTATGGACATCGATTAAAAGTTGGATTATCGATTCTCAGTACACTGATCGCTTGTCTTCCTAATAAATCAAAAATTCATTTATATGAAAAAGGAATTCTTAATTCAAATGATATCTCAAAAACAACTCCATTATTTGATTATGCATCATTTTGTAAAGTTCTTTCAATTCATGGAATTGGTCGAATAATTGTCGATGTTTTTAAAAATCATAAATATTTAGCAAAAGAAATAATCAAAATGTTTATGACAAAATTTTCTTTAAAAAAATTATCTTATTATACTAATTCAAATACTGTCAATTTATCATTTATACGTTATCCTGGGGCAAAAGATTGTTTAAGAAATCTTTCAAAATTTAGTTGTAATTCTAATGTTAAACCCGCATTTTTTTATAAATTATCACAAATATGTCATAATATTCAATCATTAACTATAGAATTTAAAAGTGTGGTTTCAAATGGATTAAAGGATTTAATTTCTTCACAAAATAGTTTAAAATATTTATCATTATCACAAACGTATGGTGTTGCTGATTGGACGGATATTATACCTTCATTATCAAAACATTCGAGTACTTTAATTAAATTAAAAATATATGGGAGTGAATATTATAGGAACAGACCATTATCATTTGTTACTAGATTTACAAATTTACAAGAACTTGTTTTATCATTTCGTTATAAATATTATTTTGATGAACTTAATAATAATTTACAATCTGTTACTTTTCCACATTTAAAGATCTTAAAATTTCCATATGCATATCCAGATGATGATATATTAATTAAATTTTTAGAAAATAATGGAAAAAATTTAATAGAAATTTATATTAATAGTAGTGATTCATTAAATTTATCTATAGCTAAATTTTGTCCAAATTTAAAATCATTATATACCTTATTTAAATTTGATAAAATAGAAACATTAAAAATAATTCTTAATGATTGTCAACAATTAGAAAGTATTGAAACTCAATATATTTATGATTTTTTAAGTGAAAAAGAACTTTTGGAAACTTTGGCAAAATATTCACCAAAAAATTTTTATAGATTAAAATTAATTAATTATTCAGATTCAAAATTAGTTCCGAAAGATTTAGAAGAATTTTTTTCTAATTGGAAAAATCGTGTACCATTAAAATCATTTTCTTTTATTATTAGAAGATGGAATAATAGTTTAGAAAGTAAAGAAGGAAATATGAAAGTGATTGAAAAATATAAAAAGCTCGGTATTATAAAAAAATTTGAAACTATTTTATATTAATACATTGTATTTAATTATTTATTATTATGAATAAAGTTGTATATTGCATAATTATTATTAGCGAGTTTTCGAACGCTAGGAAAATTACGAATCTTAGTTTCATTGTCTTCATAGCACATAAAGTCTTTATTAAAATAAAAAGTAATTCGTTCCTATTAAACGCTCATTTTTTTAAAAAAAATTGCTGTCGTAATAATAATCGTTAATCTATTCGCGCAATATTGACTTATTTATTTATTTATTAATTCGAATGATAGAATTCTTATTGTAAGTACATCAGAGATATATCGTAATTATTGTGTGTAAAAATAAAAATAACATTTCTCAATATTACGCCTACACCTAATTCGCTATTAACATTTCGATTTA